TCTACTTGGGCTAGTTCCGTTTTGTTTGTTTTTTAATTTCTAGTTGTATCCTAATAAATTGATTTTGTAATTAATAATAAAGTGACAAGTGGATTCTATAATTTATACGGAAATGAGGACCTATAATAGGCAAAACAACCTTGAAAAAATAAAACAGAGTTGGAGGATTTATATCCTCTAAATTCAAGGCCTATTATAAAGCCACAACAATCAAAATCATGGAATATCAACATGAGGATAAATATATAAGTCAACAAAAACAAAGTTAGACATTTAAGTATGTGGTCAATTGCTTTTTGATAAATATGTCGAAGTAATTGAAAGCAGGAAAGAATAGTCTTTCAACAGATTTACTGAAACAAGAAAAACAGCATGAACAGAATACCTAACATTACACCCATCTACTACAACTAACTCAGTATTGATCTGGATCTAAATATGAAAACCATGGCTATAAAATATCTGAAAGAAAACATAATAGTGAATCTTTGCAACCTAGGTTGCCAGAGTTCAACAAACTATGGGCCTTGAGCCAAATCTGATTCACTGCTGTTTTTGTAAATTAGGTTTTATTGTAACACAGCCATATTCACTCAAATATGTATACCCTAAGGCTACTTTCACACAGTAACAGCTGACCTGAGGAACTAGAACAGAGGCCATAAGGCCCACAAATCTAAAATATTTACTTTCTGGCCCTTACAGAAAATTTTTCTAACCCTTGAAGTTAGCATATACTTATCATATAATCTATTACTTTCATGCTCTGGTGGAAAAGAAATATATAGCCCCTGAAAGATGTGTACATATATGTTTAAGGTAATGTTATTCATAAAAGACAAAAGTGGAAACAACCCAAGTGCCTACCAGCAGGTGAATGGGGAAACACAGAGTAATTCATCCCTGCAATACAGTGCTACCACCTAGTAAAAAGGGAGGGGGAAACTAACTACTAAACACACAGCAACAGGGATGAATCTCAAGAACATTATGCTGAATGTAAGAGACAAAAGAATATTACATAATTCCACTTATATGAAAACCTAGGTTGAGCACAAGAATGTATTTTTACTGAAGATCAGGGATTTCTTGGAGCTGGGGTTCAGAGGTTTTGGATGACTGCAAAGTACACAAGTGAACTGTGGGGTTGATCCTGATTGTGGCGGTGGCTATATTTCTCAGAACTCATTGTACACATAAAACGTGTGTTTTCTATTATAAATTTTTACATCTATAAAGTTGACATAAAAAAGATTTGGAGTCAACAAAAACTGAACACAGAATAAACAACATTAAACAAAAGTTTCACTTTAGTATAGTATTTGCAATAATCTATGTAGAAATAGATCTCAGCTCAGCCCTGAAGTCTACTACTGGTAAAAGCACTTTGGAGACTCATCTTTGATCCATTTAAGCAAATGGTAAGAAATGGGCTGAGTAGGTTTGTTCTGGTTATTAACATACAAAGTAATGTCAATGTTTTGGGTTGAGCTATATAGATTTTTCCCTCAACACACTGGACACCACAGACTTATGATAAACATGGTAAACAGGAAGACATAGGCCCTAACTTTTCTCTCTAGGGAGGAGCCATGTAGGGTAAGTAAGTGAAAATGTCAGGATTTTCCGCCCTCCCACCATTAGTATTAATGATAGACACCTGTGGGCTTGTACGCATGCCTGATGGTGGGCACCTGGAGAAGGGTGTGGGCATGCATAAGTGGGCACACCTGGGCTGAGAGGCTGGGCACATAAAGGCAGCATCATGGGGACTCCAAGAGAGCAGAGGTGGAAGCAGCAGCAGTAGCAAAGAAGCAGAGAACAGAGCCCTTGAGAGAATGCTAGAGAGCCCAGAAAGAGTGAAGACTTGCCAGGGGCTGGGAGGCCTGCCATGTATGTGGTTGCTGCAAAACAAATAATGTGAAAAAGCTCAATAAAAGCCTGAAAAAGCCACCAAGGGTTTCCGGACTCCTTTACCCATCTGCCCGGATCATAGAAAACCTCACTGGCACTACAGGCCATAAATGTACAAAGACTCAAATCAGGAGTGCGAGAAGCATCTGCCACTGCACTTATTTTGATAAATGCTAGTATTAGTTTTCTGTTGTTGCCATAATCTCCACAAACTTACTGTTTTAAAACAACACCCATATCTCACAGTTTCATACATGAAGCCCAGTGGATTCACATGGGAACTCTATAGAGGGCTTGATAAGGCTGGAATCAAGACACCTGATGTCAACAGCAATACTAGTGGAACGGTATTGTGTATGAGTATTACAGCAAATGTTTATTCCTGGCTTCAGGATAGCAATTCAAGGCATACAAATGCAAGGATGTGAAGGAGCGAAGGGCTGTGGGCAAAGGCTGATAGTCACAAAGCTGGCAGGCATGAGCTGGCAGCCACAGGAAAGGTGTAGGGAAATAAGAGCCGCTTGTGGTTCTTCACACCTCTGAGTGACAAAAGGGGGCCTTGAGGCAAAGTAGGGCAATGGAAAAGTACCCCAAAGCAGAAAAAAGCCCCAGTGGAGAGTCCCCAAGAGTGCTTATAAAAAGGGCTCCTACCCCTCGGTAACAGGCTCCTCTCTTGGACCCCCTCCTGCTTTCTCACAATAACCCTGAGCTTGCTAATCTTCAACGTGGTATGTCAGTGATTATTCCTCAGTCGCTAGAACACAAGTACCCAGCTGATCCGCAACATATCGTGTGTGCTAAATGCCCAAGGAGATCTGCCAGGAGCAAGTGTGTACTTATATAGGCAAAAGGGATGGGGCTAAATCAGCTTTCAGCAAATGAGATTTTCAGTCAGTGCAATTCTGAGTGGTGGAAAGTTTGTCAAGTGGTGATTAGCTGCATTTCAGTCCTTGGTCCATTTTCTTCTCAGCTATGCACAAGCCCCAACAAGCCTAAGTGCCTGGTCCTCCTGGGGCCTGACTCAACAGCTCCCAGCTGCTTGGTTGTTACCTAACACAGGATGGCTAGATTTTTCATTTTTACTTTTACTTATATAGCCATCCCCACCCCCTCAGGCTCTGATAAGAATCTGCCTCCAGGCTTGTTCAGGTTGAGGCCAAATTCATTCCTTTTGCATGGTATTTATTAGGTCCTTTGTTTGTGAAGCAGTACTTACAGGTTGAGTCAAATCTCCATGAATTTCATTTCTGCTGCATCTCTGACTTGTTACTTTGTCTAGTGGGGTTCATGTGATTACATTGATATTACCCAGAAAATTCAGGCTAATCCCTCTACGTTAAGGTCAGGTGGTTAGTAACCTTAATTATATTTGCATGGAATGTAACATAATCGTGAGAGGAATACCAGGTGACAAAGATCATGGGGGTCAAAATTCTGCTCACACAATTGTCACCGGAAGAAAACAACAAACGAAAAATATTCCAAGACAAAAAAACTAAGAGATTTGCTCAAAATCATTCAGAGCACTCAACTTTACCAATTTTAACAAGTTACCATATATCTAGTGCCTATGACCAATCGAGAAATGTATGACAAGATGAACCTCTGTCATCCCATGTATTTTTTTTTTTAATTTGGTAAATTCAGAGACTTCAGAAAACTTCACATAGTATGATAGTATGAGAATTTAATTAATATGGGGAAGTGCTAAATGCTCTAAGAACTCAAATCATTTATTGTTGTTATTCCCATTTTAGAGATAAGAGCATTGGTTCTGAGACCTAACCTAACTCACCTAAGACCACATGGCTAATAAATGACCCAAGGTTCAACTTCAAACGTGGAAATAAATGAAAAATACTGCATGAAATGGACTTGATTAACATAAAGCCCAATAAATCATTTACCATTATTGTGAAAATGACACACAAGTTATCCTATGACCCTAAATAGCCATAACATTTCTAAAGGCTACTTCCTGTTGACAGAACCAAGTCCAAATTCCTAATCCGGCCCCCAAATTTACTTTCCTCCCACTCCCGCCCACATTCCCCCTCTCGCAGCAACCCCATATATGGCCTGATACTCAAACTTGTTTTCTGCAAAAAGAACTTTGTGCGAAGATTGGCATTGTTTTACAACTCTGCCAATTTCTTTACGTTGAATAAGACAGCTGGATTTCACATCTTTTTCTGTGATCTTCAATATCACATCAATTTCCCAAACATTCCTGGGACCACATGACTGTAGAAAGCAAAGAAGCTTTTCCTGCGATGAGGACAGTATTGACCTTGCAGAACCCCTGGAATCCCAGGCCTTATCTTGGGTGCCAACTGCATTAGGGTGCGTTAAACTTCCAAACGGCTTGGCCCTGTCTCATCTTTCCTGTTGAAGCAGCTACTGTTCCAAGGCAGGGAGCACCACTCTGAGAGAGGGTTGGGGTGAAGGGCTCCTCCAACTCTGACAGGTTACCCGGTTCCTGCACCTCGCACTCAATTAACGACCAAACCAACCAAGACAAGCACCACAGGGCCGCCACCTGGCAGCAGGCTGGGCCTCGTCATCTGAAATGGGTGCCGGGCACGCGGGACAACTTAGAAAATCCAAGACAACACCCTTGGGCCAGGCCCACCACCGCCTGGGCCTCAAAATTTGAGGCCTTCCTGGCCGAAAGCTCAGCAATAAAAGGGAAACGCCATCTCCACACAGCATTTGAAAAACTCAAATCAGTGAAAACAATTCAAAGCTGCGGCCTGCGGGCGGCCTGCCGGTTTTGTAATTAACACTCAAGTAACTTTTTCCCCAAAACCTCCCCAACCTCCACACAGGTCGCCCAAAAGCCCTCCCGCCCGACGCGCCGCGCAGGTGAGAGGCCGCGGCAGCCGAAGGGGCCGACGGGAAGAAGCGCGCCCGCGGCGCCGGCGGGCGCCCCTCAGCTAACTTCCACTTGCCGCCGCCTCCTCCCCGCCCCGCCCCGGCCTCCCGGGATTGGCGGGGCGGCCTCCCCTTCGCGCTGCCATTGGCCCGGAGTTCGCCGGGGGCGGGCCGAGGGAGACTTACCTCAGGCGGTGCTCGCGAGCGCGTCATTTTGCGCGCTGGGGCAGCTGGCGGCGGCAGGAGGGAGCGCAGCGGCCGGCGCGGCGCCTCTAGGTACGTTGGGGGCCGGGTGAGGGCCCCGCGCGAGTGGCGGTTGGCGGTTGGCGGCGGTTAGGCGCGGCCGCGCGCGTCTGTGAGGGGCGGCCGCGGAAGCCTCGGCGCGCCGGGCGAGCCGGCCGGGGCTAGCAGGTCCGCGGCGGCGCCGGGGCTCCGCGCTGGCTGCGAAGATGCCCGCCAGGGGCGACCGGACGCGGCCGCAGCCGCTCTCGGAGCGGGCGGCGGGTGAGGAGGTGGCGCGCGGGGCGACTCCGGCCCCGGAGGCTCGGCGTCCGCGTCCGGGCTTGGCGGGAGCTGCCCCCAGGGCTGTGGCGGGCGAGGGAGTAGCCGCTGGCCTGGACTACTTTCCAGTCAGCGGAGGAAATGTAGTCCCCGGCCGCCCGCGCCCGGGCCGGCGGTTGCGCTTACCTGAAGAAAACAGGTGCTTCAGCAGTTCACTGGATTTCAGCCAGCGACGGGGAGGCAACTGAGAGAGGTATTATTATGAAGGAGTCACCAGAACTTGAGGGTTCTAGCAAATTCTAAGAGGCCCAAGTGCTTGCTTGACATGAAGGACCCTGGAGCGCCGACATGTAATGGCCACCTGTGGGAGCTGGCCGGTGGAAGGAAGCTAGGCGCGAGTGATGAAAGTTCTGACAGAAAAGTGCCTTTTCCAGTGGGGGAAAAAAAAAAAAAAAAACCTACGCAAGCTGACCGGTTGCTTATGGCCGTGCCCCAAGCTCCCCAAGCTCGATGATCCAGTTGGGGCACAGCCAAGGATGTGTCGGGGACTGAGAAGTGATCATGAGTTTGCGCTCTCTCTGACTGAAACCCTGCGACCCTGGGAAGCCGCAGTCCGCCTCTCCGTGTCACGCTGTTGAAGAGGACAGCTCCGCCTGGAAGCCGGTGCAGGTCGCCCGCTTTGTGACAAGATAGTGTTTAGCTCACTGAAGACTGACGCGTGGTTGAGAGCTAGGAAACAAGTAACTGTTCTGAATTCTTCAGTGGAAAGGAAGCACGAGAAGAGTGACGTGATAGCCGTTTAAACGCTTAGATTGGGACGTCACCACCTTCAGTGAGATTTTTGTCAAGTGCGCTAGTTAGTGAACAGTGATAGAACAACTCACAGAACACGGGAAAGGACAGTCAAGATCAGGATGATTTATATCACAGGAAAGTTCTTGAAAATGAAAAAAAAAAAAAGAAGCACTTGAATGAAAGACTAATTACACTGAAATCGCTAATTATCCTTCGATTTGTTTTTAGAAATCTTGAATCTGGCCGTAATCAGATTAACGCGCGTAACTCTCAGTTTTAGCTGCACTGGCACAGACTACATCCTACGGTTGATCTCTGCCTCAGTAGAAAGAAACGGACAGGGTCTTGCTGGAAATGATTTGTGTCTTCTAAGAACTGGTGTGTCTAGCTTCTGCTCTGCTTACCTTTTGGCTGTTGTACTCCACCTCAGCTTTCAGTCCCATTGTATTTCCTTGCTCCCTAAGATCTTGAATTCCGGGATAAAAATACTGCATAATCTGTGCATTTTTGCCTGTGCATATCATGTAGTTCTTTTATAGTGGGTGTAAATAGATGCTTTCATTCGATGTAATCAAATTATAACGGATAGTTGTTAAAAGTAAAAATAAAATTTATAAAATGAAATACAAAGTATTCTCATTAAATTGAGATTAAACTACAAGGAACGATACCATATCCTATTTTAGTCTGTCTCATCATTTTAATATTCTTTAAGGCTCAATTGAAAGTAGACCAGTGCTTTGAGATAAATTACCATAAATTTAGGTGACTTTCCTCTTCAACTTTACCAACCTGAGTAGGACAGAAAGATTGTAGTCAGGAGATGATTGGCTATAATTTGAGTTTTCAAGCTCCTGATTACATTTCTGGGCTTATTAAGAATGTTAGTATATAGTTCGGTTTTTATTAATATTTAAAGAGCAGATTTATTAGAAAAGGGACAGAAACGTAAAAGACGCTTGCATAGATACAAGTGGGCAGAAAGAGCAGCCAGTAAATAGTTCTTACTAAATTTATCCATGACTTTTAAGATTTGTTTGTGCCTATAAGAACTAGGGTGTAGGTCAGAGATGCAGAGGTGAAAGGATTCACCAGAGACAGAGTGGGGAGTAGAACAGGCAGATCTACTGAAATACGCAGCTGAGGGGAGCAGCAGGCGAGACAGGAGAGGTCTGCTGAGCTATGTGGGTCAGCTCCCTGGCTAGAGATTGAACTCATGCCACAGTGGCTGGCAACAGCCTGATAATGCTGAGACCCTAACCCTTGTGCCGCCAGGGAGACCCCTATCCATGATCTTAAGAGGCTCTTTATGTATTTACTAAACATGGTACCAGTAGTATATCTCTGAGGCTCTGTAAGTGCTGATAAGAAATAGCTATTGCAAAAATTGCTGAGACCTGTTCTAATACTGTTATAGAAATAAAACTATGGGTGGCTTTCCCAAGGTCATTTTTGTAAGTTGATTAGTTTTTAATAGTCTATATAAAAGGCATCTTGCTGAGGATATAAAAATAAGAAACATCTCTCAAAATTCTGACTAAAAATAACAAATTTTTAATGGGAAATTCAGTTAAGTAGTTCTCTTGGGGGAAGGTTTTTTGAAGAGATGACCTTTTAAACACACCTTGAAGGAATGAAAAGTAAGGGAAAATTGGTATTTAAAATTTGTGATGAATTTAAAACCAGGAAAGATAGTTATAGGAAATTGAAACAATAGCTTTAGTAAAAATCAAAGATACTGCAGTCACGATGCTATAGCTGGTTATATGGAAAATTTTACCTAAGTATTGACAACTAAAAAATAGGGAAATGCATGTGAAATGTGAAAAAGAGCTAAATTCTCTTCTGTAATTACAGGAAATTGATAGATTGTACAGATAACAATGAAAGTTTTCAAGTAAAGAAATACTAGTGTGAATATATTTTACAATGACAAGATGTTAAAAAGTTGTTGAAATTATTTAAAAGTTCTTGTCTTAGGCATGAAGATTAAGGAGTGCTGATAAACAACTACTTTTTCTCATGAGAATTTTATGCTGCTTCATTACAATTCCATTGATTACATTTTTATAATTTAAGGCAAAATTCTAGCACTTAGATCATACTGATGCTGGCAGGATGTTGATCACACTTAAAAGTAGTAAATCTCATGCTTATGAGATTGTCACCTGGTAGAAATTTTTTTTGTTGATCACTATGTAGTCATGAAAGTCTCTCACACTACCTTAACTGATTTGTACTTGTGATACAAGATTTCCTTCATAATAATCTGAAAATACAAACTCAACTATTTCCTTGAACAAGTTACATAGCATATGTTAGAATAGCTTTTAAGTTTTTACTCTTGAGAAAAAGTAGAAGAAGATTCAGTCTGATGGATTCTTTAAAAATACAGGGAGAATTACCCTTTCATGTATTTGCATATTATGATACTATCTCAATAAGCATTACAGATAATCTTTCATGCTGGACAAAACTGGTCTCCTGGCCCATCACCAGGAACAGAGAAACTTCATCAGAATGCACTATGAACTTCAAACTTTGTAAGAAGGAAAATTATTTTAAATGATGAATTGGACAAATCCAGGACCATAGTGGGACAGTCTCAATATTGTTTTAATAGCCAGAAGATTGTGAAGTGGGGCCAGCTTTAATCCCAGATGCTGAAATTATGAAAGATCACGATCTCCAAAGTATAAAACTAAAAGTCACAGGCCCCCTCCCCCAGGTAAAAATCACAAAAATAGTTTTGTAACAAGTAATTGTAAAAATTCTCTAAAAGACATGTTTTTAAAAGGGGATTCATTTGCGATGAAAAGACACTTGCTAATATAAAGGCTTCTCCAATGTTAAACACTTTTGGCCAGGAATTTGACCATCAAGGAAGATGGATTTCTTATATTCACCACTAGATTCAACAAAACTTAGTGCATACTTCCCTTTGGATAATGGATGGCACTTTCAAAATTGCCCCCAGAGTTTTTTTAATGAAGTATATGTGTATATCTCCATATTGCTTGTGATCCCAGGAATTCTGAAACATACATACACTCATGTATTAATGATTGGAAAAAACAAAGCACTCTGAAAGTATTTATTTGAAGATTTGGTGGATTTTGCAAAAGAAAGTGGATTTTAGTCTAATCCCCAAGCCACGATGACAGATTTGAAATTAGGCACAGTCAAGGCTTCTGAAGGTGAATTTAAAGATGTTTAAACCATAGAGTTTTTGGGGTTCTTTTTTTCCAATTTAACCCAGTGCATTTGGTGAAAAATTCATATTAGCGAACTGGACACATGACAAAGCAGCCTTGAAAACATCACTTTTAAAATGTATCATTTATCTGTATTAACATTCCTTCTAGCTGATGAAATTCCAGGACCTTTTAAGAGCAAATTTGCCTTAAAAGCCAATGAAGTTACTGGTTGGTTCAAAAATAGTTACTTTTGCAGTAAGATAAGAAGATGAAACAATGTTAATGTTCTGTGGCTGATGTTTCCACCAAACTGGTGGTCTGTATTTGAGTGCAAGAAGAATGGATTCGTGTACTCAAGAAAATAGAAGCATGACCAGAAAATGGAAAAATAACTTGTTAGTGTACATCAAATCATTGACTTTCAAAAGGAGCAGCACCATGTAGCAAATAAATAGGAAGGTATTTTCTGAGGTTAGCCATACCCTAAGAGAAAAAAATAACTTATTGGCAATAAAAAGCTACAAAATATAATTTACTGTAAAGGTCTGAGCTCTCTTGTGGACTCCCATAATTTCATACCCATAGACTTTCGTATGTCAAATTTTCCGTTTTCTCCCTACCATTATAAAATTTTTATAGCTCACCATGTTACGTCTTTCATCTTCGCATCATTTCCAATGCTTAAGGTATAAATTGTGTAAAGACTTAGCATTTAATTTGTTGTCTTAAGCATTTTCTTTTGTAAATTTGACTCAGTGAAAGTGCATTATCACAATGTTGATTTGCTACGTAAGCATGGTGTGTGTGCATGAAAATGTAGAAACTTCCTCAGTAAGTGAAGAGATGTCTATTTTGTACATCTTAATTTGTGAAAAATATTTCCAATACACATTTTATTGTGTAAATTACATGACTTGAAAGATGTTTTTGTTTCTCAAGTCCACTTCCAAAAATGTATATAATGTCCTTTAAATCTTTTAAAAATCATTCCCAGAATATTTTTGAGATTTTGGGTTTTAAAGATTTCAACAGTAGGGATTATGGCATTCAGGATTGTGTCTTTGAGATAATAACCAAAAGTCATTGTAAAAAGTTCAACTAACATATAACACTGTGTCCAGTTGCATTAGAATACATGTTCTGCTCAAGTATGTATGGAGCTTTCGGAAAAATCAACTGTGAAGCTAGCCTCAACAATTACTACAGGGTTTAAAAAATTTAGAGGATATTTTTATCACAATGGATTTAAGCTAACTTTCAATAAATACATTTCTAGGATTCACAATTGCCTGGATATTAACAAGTTTCTAAAGAATCTACACATCACAAGAGGAATTACAATGAAAATTAGAACTTATATGTACCAAATGATAACATAGGCTCTATCAAAGTTTGTGAGACTTAAGTAGGACTTAAAGGGAAAAACTATAGCTTTAAATGAATAATGTGGGGGTGGGGGAGAAGGACTAGAAAAGATCTGAGTTTTCATCTCAAACTAAAATAAGCCTATCAAGTCTGAAGAAAATGGATTATAATACTAACAAATATGAAATGGAACACTATGTAAAAAAGGAGAGTGCGAAACTAAGTCACTTTGAAAGTATTGACTAAATGGATAAATGTCTACTTAGAAGAGCAAGAAAAGAGAAAAATAATCACTAATATTAAGGAAAAAACAGCACTACAAATCTTGTAGATATTACAAATTACAGAATATATGAAGAAATTTATAAATTTGAAATTGTTGAAGTGGAAGAACAACTAAAATAACAGGAAGGAAAATATGAATAGTCTTGTATGTTTTTAAAAGTTCACTATTAACTACGTCTGGATGGTATGGCAAAGTTTGGAACACATAAGAAATATTATTCATAAACACAGACTCTTCAGAGAATATAAAAGGACTTTATAGTTCATTTTTTGAGTTTAACCTTGATACCCACAATGGAAAATTAACTCATTGCTGTCAACAATAAACTAAAGCGTTAAAATGCTAACAGATTGAATCCAAGGACATGAAGAAACAAAGGTATATTGTGGCTTAGTGAGGTTTATTTTAGGGAGAAGCTATATTTACTATTTTAAAACTTACACAGATAAGTTGAAAAATGTTAGATTGTATAGTCATCTAAATAGTCATGCTTCACTTTATCACATTGATACTTAGAAATGCGTCTAGAGATTTTAAGTAAAAGGTCACTGCTATTTAGACATATCTAGGCTATATAGGGACAACCACCATATATGTGATGTGTCATTGACCAAAATGTCATTATGTAGCACATGTTTATATACAGGAAATAGCATTTGATAAAATTGAATACATTTGTGACAATATCTTAGCTAGGTATAAAAGGGTAGTTGATCCAATAGACTATCTAATTTAAAAATTAAACATATTTACTGTGCAGTGACATCTCAGCCTGTCCAAGATTATCAGTGAAAGGAGGGTGCCTAAGATGAATGATACCCATTCATCTCTTAATAAGTAAAGTATTAAGACAAGAAAAATAAGGACTAGTAAGAAAAAAAATCTACATTAATCAAACAATTTATAATTTAAGTAAATGTAATGAATTAGTTGGAATTGTGATCAATAGAGCAATGATTATTTCTGTGTAATACAAAAATTAAACTTTAGAATGATGCCTCTAATCAAGCTTTAAGAAACAGTTTAGTAAAGGAATAGAGAAACAGAAAGTCTCACAAATATAAAACAAAGTAGCAGACATCCAACTCATCCATGTTGATACCAAATTTCTATGGGCTAAATAACCCAAACAATATACATTACCAGACTGGAGAAAAAAAACAGCATCCAACTATATGTTCTCTATATGAGACACAGTCTAGTTTGAAGGGCGACTATGTTAAAAGTAAGGATTGGAAAAGATATATTATGCAAACAGCAATCATAAGAAGACCAGAGTCGCTATACTGTTTTCAGATTAAAGACTGAAAAAAAATTTCATGTAAAGAGATACTTTTAAATAAAAAGATCAGTCACTCAATAAGGTTTAACAGTTACAGCCACCGCTCTTCATAACATCGAAATATGTAAAGACAAATATTGACAAAAAATGAAGTGAAACACAATAATTGGAGACTTGAATATAGTACTTACATAATATGTAGAAAACTGCAGAAGATTTGAGTAACACTGTAAACCAAGTAAACCAAAGAAGTCTTTGAACGCTCAACCAAACAACAAAATGTACGTTCTTTAGTATACATAGACTGTCACTAATTGAAGACACTACAGGATACCATAAAGCAAACCTTGACGAACTTACTATTCAAGAACAATTTTTATTTAGTGAATGCTTAGTCTTTGAGTAATACCCAGAGTCTATTGTGAGCAACACATGTTAAGTGATAAACACTGAAGCATAACTAAACACTGAAGCATAACAACATACACTGATATGTAGGCTAAATGACTTTCCACTATCCCATTAAATACATGGTTTATCTTTCTTAAATCCATGGTTTAAGTCCATGGTTCATCTTAATTATGAAAATAGAGTAATAAACTTTAAAAAAAAATTCTCCCTTGAACATCTATCCCTTTTTGAGATTCGTTACAATAATCTGGCACTCTTTAGACTGCAAGGTCCAGGATGATAGCCCCCTACTATTTTCTAGGTTGAAGTTTTAAAGCCCAAAAAATGAGGTCTTAAAATAGTCCTTTTACAAAAATAATGTAGCTTTATGCTGTAAAAACATTAGTTCTTTGTCAAAGGTTTTGTTCTTCCATCCTCATCTGCTGTTAATCACCTACCACTTTTCTCTAAAGTTCGGGGTTTTTCCTTCATAGTGACACCTATGTGCAGCTTACCGGCTCTGCCAGTATGGTTTTACAGCCTAAATGTGTTACACTATCAAACAAAAATTCCACTGTTGTTTGACAACACTAAGAGAACATGCTAAGCCAGTTCTAGTGTTTTCTGCACATCTCTCAAGTCTTGGAGAGGCAGTATTGGAACTCCTTGTCACAGTCATTCTTGCTTTTGCTACAGGTCTCGTAGCACCTGTCATGTCGGTTGCAGCATTTTGTCAAGGAAGGAATGCCAATGTTAAGATGAACACCAAACAGTGGAGGACCGAATCCATTCAGCAGGGAGGGTTCATAACCATAATGTGGGAAAGACTTAGATCCATCACAGCACTGTACTGGCAGAGTCTGTCCTCCACTCTTCTAGGAGGTCCAGAGTTACATTCAGGTATGTGTCAATCTTGTGAACAACATTCTGAATTGTCTTCATGGTGGCCCTCCCGTCAGTCAGGGACTACTCACCCCTGAGTATGACCCTCAGAAGAAGGGTGAGTATGGGCTGCTGGAGGGGGCCATAGGCACATTGCTAGGCTGCAGTGCGTGTACCCACACAGAACTGCCAGCACATCAAGAAGTGGCATGGGCTCAGAGTGTGGAGGCCAAGATGTACTCCATGCCCACACTTTTGTCTTGGAAGGCTGACCCTTGCTGGACTCCCACAGGAACATGGCACTTACGTCAAACCTTGACAAATTTAGATGGATTTAAGTTACAAGAAGTGCGTTCTCTTGACTATGGTGGAATGAAAATAGATTTCAAAACAAAAAAGGAAAAATTCACAGCTATGTGGAAATAAGCCATCATACTCCTAAATAACCAATGGGCAAAGGAGAAATTGCAAGAGAAATTAGAAATTTAGAAGGATTTAAGTTACAAGAAGTACATTCTCTGACCACGTAGAATGAAAATAGATTTCAAAGCCAAAAAAGGAAAATAAATTCACAGTTAATATAGAAATAAGCCATCTTCTAAATAACCAATGGCAAAGGAGCAAATTGCAAGAGAAATTAGAATATGATGTAAGAAAGGACACAACATACCAAAATTTTGTGGTACAGTTAAAGAAGTTCTTCAAAAAAATCATACCAATAAATACCTGTTTTAGAAAGAAATTAGGGCCTCCCCGGTGGCGCAGTGGTTGAACACTGGGCTGTGAAGCTGCCCGCAACCTCTGCAGCACCGGTTTGATCCCTGGCTGCTGGGCGAGGGTCCCACATGGTGCGTAGACCCCTCCTGCTACCCGCTGCTCCCCTCAGCAGTGTACTTCAGTCCTTCTGCCTGTTCTGTTCCCTGCTCTGGCTCTGGTGAATTCTCTCACCCTCCCGTGCTTATATAAATAAATAAATAAATAAATAAATAAATCTTTAAAAAAAAATCTCAAATCAATACCCTAACATTTCACCTTAACACAAAGAGTGAGTCTCTTTAAACCTATGTCAATAGAGTGAAGGATGTAAAAAAGAGCAGAAATCAAAGAAAAAAACAAGGAAACATTTTTTTTTTTTTAACCAGGCAACAAAATTGGCAAACTTTTACCTTGACTGACTGTGAAAAACTTAACATGCTGAAATCAAGAATGGAAAAGGGAGCATTACTCCCAGCCTTCCAGAAGTTAGAAAGATCACAAAAGAACACTGTGGGAAAGTTCACTTGTACTCCAATCAAGTAACAAAATAAACAAATTCCTGAAAAATACATAATTGACAAAATGGATTCAAGTAGAAAGGAATTGTAAACAGGCTTACAATAGATTGAATTAGAATACAAAATGACTATTGTTTCATTCTGTCAAACATTTAAGATACCAATTCTTTGCAAATTCTTCCAAGAACTAGAAGAAGGTACATTTTCCAAATCATTATATAAGGCCAGTATTGCCATGCCAAAATTACACAGATAAAAATGCTTCAGAACAAATTTTTTATGAGTAAAGATGGAAAAATCTTGAACATACTAGTAAGCTGAATCCAACATAAAGGATTATATGCCATGACCAAGTAGTATTTATTACAGGAATGTAAAGTTAGCTTCATATCCAAAAGTATGTTAATGTAATATACTGTGTGCAACCCATATTACTATGTTAAAAGATGTAACACCATGAATACATCCTGACAATATCCAGTGTCCCTTCATGATAAAAACAAAGTAGGACTGACCAGGAGAAACAAATAAAGAGCAAATAAACAAATAAAATTGAACAAATAAAGAGCATCTGGAGGAATACCATAACTAACATACTTACTAGTGAAAAGCTGACGATTTCTCTCTAAATCAGGAACAAAACAAGGATGTCACTTCTGTGTTGCCACTATTGCCACTTCTGTGTTGTAGCAGGAAGATCCCATGAGGATAATTTGGCAAGATTAGAAAGGAAGAAGTAAAACTAAAGTAATGGATATGATCATATATGTAGAAAATCCTAAGTACTAAATCGTGAAAACAAGGTCAATAATGTTGGAAGATATAATATCAGTATACAAAATTATATTGTATTTCCATATAATTGCAGTGAACAACCAAAATCAAAATAGTTTCATTTCCAATAGCATCAATGAGAATTACAAACCTTATACTAGGAAAAGCACAAAATAATATTGAAAGAAGTTAAAGATTTAAGTATTTCGTCATGGATCAGAATACTTGATAGAATTAAGTTAGCACTTGCCTACAAGTTTATAGAGTCAATACAATCCCTATCAAAATCTTAGGTATAGCTTCCTTACAGAATTTGCCATTCTGAGCTAAAGTTTATATACCTATTCAAATAACTCAAAAGAAATAATCAGGACAAGAAATAATCAGGAGCTTTGCAGACAAGGAAACATGGATAGCCAGTAAACATGGAAAGTACTAGTAATGAGGGAAATGCAAATTTAGACATATATATCAATATTTAAGTCAGTTTGCAAAGCTCAAAAGAGCCAAAATAGAAGAACAAAGTTGGAGGACATGTGAATCCTCAGTTAAAAATTCACACATCAAGACAAGTTGGTACTGTCATAATAACAAACCTGTGTATTATTGGGATAAAATAGAAAATCAGAAATAACCCTTCACATTTATAGAAAATTCAGTTCAAAATTCAGTGGGGAAAGGAATGGCCTATTCATGTGGTGCTGGAAAAACTACATATACACATGAAAGAATAAGGTGAAACCCTGCCTCACTGCATGCAAAAAATACTGCAGTGGATTGAAGAGCTGAAACTATAAAACTTAAACATGGCAAATCTACAAGACTTTGGATTTGACAGTGATTTCTTAGAACATGATACCAAACGCACATGCAACAAAAAAATTAACTGGACATTATCAGAATTTAAAATCAGCATTTCAAGGCATGCCACCCAAAACTGAACTCATAGAATGTGAGGAAAAGTTTGTACATGATGTCTTATAAGGTACTTAAATCTAGACTATATCCCATAAAGAACTCCAAGTCAAAAATAAGGCAAATGACCTAGTTTTGAAGTGAATCAATTATCTCAGGCTTTTTTTTTCCAAGGAAGATGCCAAAGTGGTATCTTCAGAAAATGCAAATCAAAATGATACCACATGATGTTACAATGAGATGGTTATGCTAAAAAGTAAAAAACAGAAGCAGTGGTTAAAATTGGATGCCTTGTACACTCTAGTTATGTATGTAAATTGGTGCAGTTGACATAAATTGTCAAACAATAAAGGTATATATCAAGTTACCTTATGAGTCAACAGTTTCATTCTTATTTAAATGCCCAACAAAAAGGAAAATATGTCCACATATTGTACATGAATGTTCATAGCAGCATTATTCATAGTAATTAAATTCAGCTCTATAGAAAGTATAAATATCTGAAGTCATTCTTGGAAAGTATCATGTATAAAGTATAATGTATAATGTAAAAGTAAGATAAAATATGGTATGTAAAGTTCTAAATTGAACCAAGACTCCAGAGGGGTAATGATGAAAGTAAGGAAAAGTTAACTTTTTTAGATAGTATATACTCAATATTGCATTACGCTGGTCTTGGTGGTTAATGAAATGTTGGATTAATGTTTTTAGAAATTCTTCAAATGTAGTACAGTCTGGAATTATGGTGCATATGTAGACCTTAAAAAATACTGAGAACATTTCACATTAAAGTAATATAGAAATAACAAATAACAAAAAGTAAGCATTAACTACAAAATGTGAAAACTGGAGAACACAAAGCCAAATGTAATTTAATCAAATGAAAACTTGAATTTACAATAAATGTAACTGGATTAAATTATATTAAAAGAGCAAGTTAAAAGATTTGTGGTAAGTTCACATCTAAAATAAATGGCTGGGATGGACAACTGTATATTTAGCAGGACTTACATCATCAGATAGAATAGAAAAGGAAATGATTAAATTATACTTTAACAAACTATTGTAGTTAAATATCTGATTGAAAAATGAAATTCAATCCCTTCCTCTCCCTATATGCTAAAATTAATTCTATATGAATTTATAAGTTATGAAAGACAGATTTTTAAAACTTGTTTCCAGCCTTGTGCTGTGGAACAGTATCATGATTCCAAAAATCTTTGTGAAATGACATGAGTTTTGACAGCTTGAAAGGATTCAAGCTGGTTGAAGAGAGGAGTTCTGGTGATTCCAAGGATCTCCCAGGTAGACTGAGCTGCTGTTTTATATTCTTCCAGTAGTGAAACTTCACCAAACCTTTCTATAGCATGTAAACTCTTCCTTCACCTTTTAGACAGTTATCAGTAATTTACTTCCTTCAGCCTTTTATTGGCAGTTTTGCTTGTTTTCCCTAAACTTTCTTTTGCAAAGGTTTTCCAAACTCAGACACTGTAAGTACCACATAGTACACTTTTATGCCAATTATGTAACATTGTGTATATTTTTCAAGACTAATTAATTTATTCTGAACTAGCATTCCTATTATGTATTTGCTCAATTTTTCATCCTATTATATTTTTATTATTGCATATCAATGATAGCTCCACACCCTCAGATAATGTAAATCAGAGGGCTTCACGACCATCAGTTAGGCCTTACTATTTCACACTAAACACATCATTTCACCATAGGGTAAGGAAGTGTATTTCAAAAAGTAACCATAAAAGTAAAGAAAGTGAAATGTGCATATATTAAAATTAGGAAGAGCAACGACAAACCACAGAATGCGAGCTATCTGTAACTCATACAATGATTCACAGAAAATTTGTATTCATAATATACCATGTTTTCGTCACTACATTAGAAAAACAATCCAAAAATGAACAAGAAATAATCAGGATCTGTGCAGACAAGGAAACATGTATAGCCAGAAAACATGGAAATTACTAGTAATGAGGGAAATGTAAATTAAGACATATATCAATATGCAAGTCAATTTGCAAAAATTAAGTCTTAACCCTCTAGGCTCAAGAGTATATGGTAACACACTTTGCCCATATGGCTGCAAATTATTTACAGTTGCTTTGGAAAACAGTTTGCCTATCCTGAAAAGTTATACACGTGTATACTTTATCACTACCCAGCAAATCCATTCAAGAAATGCTTAACAGAGGATCACCTTGAAACAACAGTGTTTATAGCAGCAGTGTTAGAATGACAAAAACAAAAATTGAAAATGATTTACCTTTAGATAAAGGTAAATTTATCTAACCAGATAAATTTGATTTAACTTCAGATAAATCAAGTTGGGTATATTGACGCAGTGAATTATTACAATGCCATGGAAAATGTATGAATTGCTGCTGTACATACTCACATTGACAAACTTTGGAAAAATGAATTCCAAAACATGTTATTTGCAAACTATTTGCTGAAAAAATCTATATTAATACATGACATAATGAAACTGCAAAGACAATAGAAGGTTAAATTCAAAATGTAGGATACGGATTATTTCATGATCAGTAAAATGTAGAGAATGCATGTTATTAGGGATACATAAGTAGATGCAAGTTATCTATAGTATGTGTTTTAGTTGCTGGCCCAAACATTTGGTATGTTGTTTTGTAATTGATGTTCCATGTCTATTGCATGCATCAAAATGTAGATGCAGATTTACTCCCCAGGCCTTCAGGGCGTTTCACTAGTCTTGGCCTTTTCCACAGGCCTGTGATGGAGCATAGCAATGTGTTCATATAGCTGGATGTTACTTCTAAGATTTACAACATAAAATATTTTAACTACAAATATTGAAGACTGTTTTCTCTTCCTCTTGATTTTACCTTTCCTTTATGTCTCCTGGTGGTAGAATAGGTTTCAGGCATTTTCTGAGTAGGGATATACTTAGTGTGGATTTGTGATTTACTATTAATTTTGAATGTAGGTAAGTAATGCTATTGGTGTGATTGTAATATGAGTGTGGTCTGTCATGCCTGGTACCTGAAATTTGTAAGTAGTTAAGCCAGTCGTTGAAGTTTATGAAGCCAGAAAGTGAACAGGAAAAATTTTCAGATATCTGATGTTTAAGAATTGTAAGGATTTAGTTCTTGTGGACTTCTTGGTCAAATGAGAACTTATCTCTTGTTAGAGATGTAGTCAATAACATAGCACAATTCCCATTGCAATGTCTGCTTTTTTAATGCAGGAATTCCTACCTTTGAAATAAATTTTGTGTGTAGAGGGTACAAAGCTCTGACAGTACCAACAAAAAAAAAATGTCTTTAGGTGAAGCTGCTTGTAATAAATTAAGATTATCAATTGAAAAAATAATCATGGTAAAAGAAATGGTTTGTCCATTCTCCATGGGAAATATGAAAATTGTGATCATGAAGAGACAATTAAATATGCAGGCATATAGGAAGAAAATTCCATAATTTATCAGGCCCTTCATGAAGGTATGCTTTTGGGAGGGGCAGGGGAAATTTTACGATATGTATACATATAGGCTTTTAAAGTTGTGATTTATTTTCTTGTTGTAAATATCCATTTCAGCCTTCAGATCTCATAAATACTGCAACTGTTCCCAATCAAAATTGAATAAAAAGTATACAGTAAATGAAGCTTTAAGTAAAGAAATCATGATAAATGGTAAAAAAAAATATTTTGGTAGCTTTTGCTGGGTTATGTGCTAAGCTTGAAAGGTTCAAAATTCTGTCTTTGACTTTAAGTTTAATAGGAATTTTGTAATGGTCTATCATGTGTCAGTATAATCTAACTTTTTTTTCCTTATACCTTTGTAAACTGGCAATATTCCTTTTCTTTAAGCTGTTACCTACCTGTGGTTCAAATCAGACTTGATGTGGATACTGAAGGATAAATAACATCCTTCTGTTGTGTAGATTTTTCTTAAATTATGAGACATAATTAAAAATTAAGTATTACACAATCTAAATTACACTTACATTAACTAGCATCATGTGTGTATTAATGCTTATTTTACTACTCATGACTGTTGAGAATTACTGCTGCATTACCATTTATTTTGGAAATTTGAATACTAGAACTTTTATAAGGTGCCAACATGAATAGAAAATAGAATGTTTTATATAAAACTTACTGTTTTTATAAAGATGTGCAATTTAATCTTTAGATTAACTCAAGTATGGCTTACTTGCATGATTAAATTAGAAGTGAATGGTTATAGCAATGAGGTTATATAGTTAATAGTTGCTTATTGGCAATGTAAATTTCAAATTTATACAATTGAGATTTATATATAAAAGTTTTAATTATATATACATTTTCAGTGATATTAAAGTTAATATAGTTTTTCATTAAATGTGTGCCTAAATCTGGAGAGATAGTCTCAACATTATTTTAATGATGCCAATAAATATGTTAACTTGTCTGCTGGAGAATGCTTTTAAATACGATGTCTTAAATTCTAGGATATGGAAGATGGCAAGTCCGGAAAGAAATAAACGGAAGATATTAAAAGCAAAAAAAACAATGCCTCCAAGTTGCCGGAAGCAAGTAGAGAAACTGAATAAGTCAAAGAATTGTGAAAACCTGAAAACAGCAGTGTCTGTGAATAGTTTGTCAAGTGGTAGTCAGAATTCAAGTACCAGTGTCATAAGTAACAAATGTAGACCTTCTGAAAATGATGTTTCCTCATTGGAGTCCAGCAAAAATTCAGTATGCTCACAGAAAAGTAAAGTATGTTCTCAGAATTCAGTGCAAATTGTTGATTCAGAAACAGGATTGAATTACCCTGAAGAACAAGTTGTGTGTCCTTATGAAAAGCCGAGTGAAACAGGAGAATCTCCCAGGAGACTCTCTATGCAAGAAGCAAAAGATTCACAAAACTCTTCTGAAAACCATTTTGAATGTCAGACCAATATAACAAGATCCTTTTTCGAACGACATGAAGAGGATTATAACCTGAAATCCATTTGCTCCCCATCCAGTGTATTGAATGGTGTCGTTCAAATGCCAAAGTCTGTAGTAATCAATTCACTGGCCGATAACAGAATCAGCAACATTGTTTCTTATTTAGAAATAAACTCCAATTTTGAGTCACATGATAAAAGGCAAAATGACATTTTATGTTCAGACACCCATTTTGTGGCTGTTGATAAAATGCCTAAATTAGTGAATTCGGTCATTTCCAATAACTGTGCTACTCACATTTTGAAAAGTGAAGAATCCTGCAAAACCTGTCATTCCAGCATTGCCAATTGTGAAAATACAGACTCGACATGGCAGTCACCACTTGACACTGATAGTTATAACAGTAAGTGTAAACATACGCATCTTGTAGGTGATCTTACAGTCACTGATGTAGGAAAATAGAGTACATATAGAAAAATGTAAGCAATGATAATGATTTCACAGTATCTTGTTTCTGAACTACTTTTTCTGGGGAGAGGGAAATGATACCCTCAGTCTCCAAAGGGAAGTAAATTCTGGCAAAATAAAACAATCACCTTCTCTGGAGAGTACAAAAAAAAAAATCTGAATGCTATTTGTGGCAGTTGTCTGGTCTATTTCATCTATATTTCATATTTTGAATTTTTATTAACCTAATAAGCTTAGTTGAAGGAGGTTTTTTTTTAATTATTGGCAAACCCATTTCTTTGAAATTGTCCTGTAAATTATATGCCAATTATCAGCTGATAATAAAAATAGATACACTTACCATTGATGTCCTATGGCTGTAAAATCATTAGCAAAAGTAATTTCATCAGAAGTTGGATGTTTTATAGGTTAATATTAGAAAAATTGATAAATCTTATGTGTGTTCTTGTCTAGGCTACAAAGTAATTTAGTAAGGTGAATTTTAAATTGTTTAAAAATTATGTAGACTCAGCTAGTTAACTCTTTATTAAGATGAGACCATTTAGTAATTATAGAGAATTATGTGCGATGACTTACTCAGTTTTTGTTGGTGTATGTATGTTAAGATTTAAGGGGAAGTATAGCTGAGACAGACTTGTACCTTTGTTTTTAAGGGTTAGGTTGTCAGAATTATTTATATAATTACCTTTTTTTTTTTTTTTAAATGGTGCCATAGTCACATTAGTTTTTGTCTTTACTTAGAGAACTCATAAATTAGAAAATTCCCCTGTTTCCTTTATTAGAAGGAATATTTTTATCTCTGATTTTTCCATTTCCTTAAGGCCATAATCAAAAGAAGAGGATGTTTTCAGATAACAAAGAAAATGTTAAGCGCATGAAAATCTCAGAACAAATTAATGAAAATATTTGTGTAGCTCTGGAAAAGCAGACAGCATTGCTGGAACAGGTAAAATGTTGGGGCTAAGTATTTACTTCAGAAACTTTACCTTTTATTAGTAAAAAATGGTAAAAGTCCATTGATCACCACAGTAAAACCAAATTAGCAAATGAACTTACTAGAAAAAAAATAATTACATTACCAAAGACATATCTAGTTTCCTGAATGTGAGGTAGCGTAGGGGAATAATGTATAGGTAGAATGCTGTGGTAGCGAATGGTCAATATCACTTTCAAATCTCTTTGTGAGTCAGGTACTCCTTGTCCTTGACCTTTGCTGAGCAGTTCAGTTTCTTTTCTACTTGTCATGAAGTTCTTTGATCGCCTGCTTTAGCTGTTTGTAGACCTTATTATAATTGACCGCTACTTCATAGACTCAGACAACCCAGAAGCCTATTTTAAAAAGATGTTCTATTATCTGACATTTTGCTGTTGTCATTAAATACACATTTTGCTTTCATTTTTGTCTCCATCTTTTTGTACTATAGTTTCCATACATATCTGATGAACTCTTGAGTTTAATGAGCTTGGATATTAGTAGTTTCATAATCAAAATCTATTTTGATAATCATGTTTTACTATTTTACTACCATAAGAATGCTACAACTGAAAGTCATCCTGTAGTAGATTAATATCTATAAATTGTAATGGACCAGAATTTCCCAGTCCAAACTGTCCAGCTAAATGTTTCAGAAACAGAACACTATGGTTTTCTAAAACAGACCATTGCAATTTTAGTTATATATTAAGATGAATGTGTATTCACATAATAAATGGAAACCTTTTTGAGAGACTAATGCAGGATCAACCTAAAAGTTGAGTCAACAGTTTTTCCCTTTTGATCTCTCGTTTGCTTTAGAGACACTAATAAAAAATGTCTGAATGTTTTATTGTGCTCAAGGAGAGGGAGTAGCAAAATTATGGTAAGCGTGAATCTTGCTTAAGAAAAGGTTGGTGGTATAGGGGTTAAAGTCTCAGTGCTATCAAGCTACCTTCAGCCACTGGGGCATGAGTTTGATCCCCAACCAGGGAGCTACCGACATGGCACAACAAACCTCTCCTGTCTCACCCACTGCTCCCCTCAGCAGTGTATTTCAGTGCATCCACCTATTCTGCTCCCCACTCTGCCTCTGGTGAATCCTCTCACACCCTGCACCACTGGCCTACACCCCAGTGTATGTTTATGCATATTTAATATATGCATAAATAAATAAAAAAATCTTTTAATATAAAAGGTTGGGGATTCCATCTGAATCTTACTCCTGGTAATAAGTAGTTGAATTCAGAAATAAGTTCTGGTGAGGATACAGACAATTTAATCTTAAAGCACTAATTTCACTTGCTTCCATTACTATTAGTTACAAATCAAAATACTTATTAGTCTATGTTGACATGGAAAATGGTCCTTCCTTGTGTGAACTGTAGGGGATAAAGGATTTTTGTTATGCCTCCCACAGGAAGTGTCTCGCACATGCTCGAGAGACAAGTTGGGTTTTAGCTAATTCCTATCTTTTTACCCATCTCTAAATCATTGGCTTACTCTTGATTATTTTAATTCCTGCCCAAATAATTAACTCTAAACCACTGTTTCTTCTTCCCCCCAACCCCCATGTCTGTTTATTCTTGGAATCCCAGTGGAATAGAGCCTTCCTGCTGACATTATTCCTCCATATCCGGAGTGCCCCAGAGATGTTGACTCTTTTCTTCTGAAGTTTCATAAAGTTCATTGATCCCATTTAAATTATTGAAGTGGAAGGGTGTTTTTCTTTTAATATCCAAGTTACTTACTTCACCCCCCATACAGGCTGGCTATATATTAGAGCTGTGTATCCAGTCTTCAGGCCATTCTGGCGCCCTTTGCAAAGTATGGGTAAGACTCTTATGCGATTCTGTAGTGTTGGACATCACCACTTCTGGGAGGGATGAGGTATTTGATGAAGGTTATTGTGTCTTTTTTATGAGGAATATTACCACTAAGTGAGAACAAATACCCAGTCTAACAAAGAGGAATTATCTTTGATGAGCATTAAGTCCAAAATAAGCACGTTTTAAAATTCCACTTTCATCCAAATCACCAGGATGACTTGTTTAAATTGAGGTTTCTTTGGCTCACTTATAGTTGAAGACTTGCTTTAGGGTGCCTTTCTCAGACTTAGCTGATGTGATTCATTAGAGATGCCTGTTAATTATACAACTTTTTAGGTTTTTCAGAAAATTTGATTTGGAGAATCCATGGTAGAGCCTAGGAGTTTGTGATTCCTAGTAAGCATCCCCTGTGATACTTCATCAGGGAAACTTGTCAAATACTAAGTACTTAGCACTAAATACTTGGTACAAATACTAAGTAAATTCATACATTTAGGTATGTTTCTGCAAGATTCCAGCTAGTGAATTGACAAGCATGCAATAATCCATAAAAACCACACATGGATGATGGGCATTCACTGTCAGTAAAAATAGTATGTCTTTCTGAGCACTTAATACTTAAGACATACATTTTGAGCACTTGCTAATTTTAATCAAATATTTTAAAATATAGAAATAAAAAGGAATCATTTCTGATATCGAGAACCCATTTAAGTATTAAGGATGCATTATAGAAGAAATCATAGAGAATAATGTTGAAGAGCTAGAACAATTGGAAATGAAAAGGAAAAACCTTGGGGATAATCAAATAAAATTACTGAATATGATTAATCATCCAGTTGATATTAGTGTAGAGTTTAACATAGAAAATCTGTTCTAATTTCAAGCACCAAGAAGCAAGATATTAGAGGAAAGATACACATATTACTAACAAATACATTAAATGTAAACTGAAAATTGCTTATAGGAAGATGCACATTGAGCAAAAACCTACAGTGGATGTTTCTAAATGTTTGGCTCAACAGAGATGTTCACATCAGTAGGTATTGAGATTAATTATGCTCCATGAAAAATAGGTCAGTCGTTTTTCTAAAACAGCCAAATAATGAAATGCATCAATGTTTCAAGCAATAGCTACTACGATTTATTAGAATAGCATGTGTTATGCTAGATAGCACTTGTCACTACCTAATTGTCCCTGGCTTCTTTCAATTTTAACATAAAAAAATCATCCCCTTCAGAAAAAGCAGGAAAGGTTATCTTGCAGATTTATTTCCTTCATATCAATTCAGTGTTTTTCATGTATAGCTTTTTCATATTCTTATATTCTTATTAAAACCCTTTGATGTTCACATTGTAGCATCTGCCCATTTATGGGCAAGGGAAATGAAGCTCAAGGATGTCATGACTTTTCAGAGGTCATCTGGCATGTTAATGGCAGCATCAAGGCTCAAACCATCATAATTTGGTTCCCTATCACTCTACTACAGGACCAGCCAACGTTTTCATTGGGTTCTTGCTTTCAGATAATGGAGTTCCTTTTTGTGGAATAGTAGGTTTTAGTTATGGTCATTAAAAGATACAAATTTAATTTCTAACCTGTCTGTATTTTTAAGTATTAGATATTTTATAGAGAATTTGATAGTCTACATTTTAAAAAACTTACTGGTATGGTCAAATATAAATATAAAATATGAATATATTTTATTGGTTACAGTAAATCCAGAAAAGAACAAAGCTGTTTTATAAGTAGTAGAAAATAAATTGCTTTAAATTTTTGAAACATGGGGTGTTTTGGTTTTTATTTTAAAATTCTAGGTCAAACACTTGATTCGACAGGAGATTTGTAGTATAAATTACAAACTATTTGATAACAAACTGAAAGAATTGACTGAACGTATTGGGAAGACACAGTGCAGGAATAAACATGAAGCAATAGCTGATAAACTCTTCGTAAGTTTCTAATTTCATTTGATTTCATTTGAGTTCTTTTAAAAAGTGGAATTTGATTGTATTTTACATCTTAGGAAAGGAAAACAAAGACAGATGCAAATCTAATCCCTTGCCACAGGCCTGATATACTTACCATTAATAATAGAATTTGTTAGATCTCAGCAGTATTTTCCCATGGGAGATGTTCTTAAAATTACCAGTCATTCAATGTCAATGGTAGCCTTAATAAATAGGCTTTTTTTTTTAATTCAGAATCCATATTCTGTATTTAGAGTGTATTAAACCTGTTTCACGATTCTTAATTGTTTATCTTTTTTCTTCTAAGATTACTTGCTAGTTGGTGTCTCTACCAACATGAATTTTATTGTGGACCATTTAGAAATCTAATTTGATGTTTTTAATCATCTTTTCTTAAATGTTATACTAGCATCAAACATGATTCCTATCTCTGCCTTGTATAAAAATTTCTCATTTATTTGAATAGATGCCTATGTCTCTCAAAATTACTGTGGCTAATAGTCTTTCCTCTATGTGTTATTTATTACCTTGGTTTCATATTTATTTGTTTTTATCTTTTTCTTCTAGGCAAAAATAGCTAGACTTCAAAGACGTGTTAAAACAGTTTTGTTATCCCAAAGGAATCGTTTGGAACCAAATGTATTATCCAGTAATACAGCCTGTAAGGTTGGTATAAACACATAGGGGTTTTAATAACTTTGTTGACCTACATTTTGTTATAAGAAATTAATATATTTCCAAACTAGACATAAGGCTTTAAGAAACAATAAATGTATTACTTTATATGTCCCTGTGACTCTATCTCTGGATAAGATACCCTTAAGTAATCAAAAATTAATGCGACTTGTGTTTCTTTTATAAAGTAAGTAGTGTGATGATTTTTGCCCCTCCCACTATTTTCTCACAAAAGTTTCAAACATACACAGCAAAGCTGACTTTACAGTGAACACTGGTAAACTCAAGACCTAAATTCTACCTTTACAATTTTTATATATTTATGTTTATCGTATTACCATCAATCTCTTCATCTTATATTTGGAAGACTCATGGGTACTATATGTAATTCATATATATCATATCAAAATACACTCTACAATGAACATTTCCAAAATATTTCAGCATGGGTATCATTAAACAGGCTTTTGCATCTGCTTGTATTTTTATATAAAATTTTTGTGCAGTCTTCAGTATATATGTGTGTGTGTATGTATATATGTATGTATATTTTTTTTCACTGAATTTCTTATAATGTCTTCATGCATGAAAATATTTTTTATTCATTTATGCTTTGGTATCATTTATGCTAACCTTAATAAAGGAATTGGGAAGCATTCTCTCCCCAGTTTTTTGAAAGTTTGTGCCTTAAATGTTTGATAATATTATCAAATAGGAAACTATCTTGGCAAGGAGCCTTTCTTTGTAGAAAGACTTTTTCTTGAAAATTTAATCACTTACTAGGTATAGGGCAATTCAAATTTTTTGTTTCATTTTGTATCAGTTTTGTAAGTTAATCTTGGCAGGGAATTTGTCCATTTTATCTAAGTTGGTAAATTTTGTTGATGTAGAGTTACTGATATTCCTTATTTATAGGTCTGTATTTCACTTGATGAAGGTAATATATGTTTTCCTTCTCTCTCTTGCTAGAACTTTTATTTTTAAATTTTTTTAAAAATTTTCAAATTTTATTGATTTGCCATTTGTTTGTATAACTGCCATTTGCCTTTTGTTTATATAATTTTGGGAGTCCAGCTTCACACCTCAGCACATGCTTCGCTCACCCTCCACCCTAAAGTGCCTGAACACTATCACATTACCTCCCACTCCTCCCCTCTGGCAACCACGATATTTTTTTAAGTCTACGAGTTAGTTTTGTTTTGCCAGTTTGTTTTCTTTCTTTATAGTCTACATATGGGTGAAACCATCTAGTATTTTTCTTTCAGTTTCTGGCTTCCCTTAGCATAATTAGCCAACCATCCATATTGTCCCAGAATGCACCTATTATCTCTTTTTTGTAGAGGAATATAGTTGGTAAACCTCCCCTCAACTACTTTTTCTTTATCCACTTAACAGGTTACAGACTCGGAGCCCATAAATTTGGATAAGAGTCAAGAGTCAGTTAATAATAGTCCAGAGGAAAGAAGGACTTCTGTGAATAATGAATCTTCTAACCTTTCAGAAAAAGCAAGTGAAAAGATTTTGTCACAGGATCATGATGAGGCTATTTCTGAAAGGTAGGCCTTTCTGCAAATATACATAAACCTTATTTAACTATTTGCTTGTATAAATATTTATCGTTTTCTCGATTATGCATATAGTAGCTTAAAGCTTCATATGAACCCATTTTTTCTATTATGAAGGAATAGAATTGTGCTGTTATTGTTAACAGTACTAAAATGTTAAATATGTTAGATAATAAGGTATCTCATTGTGTTTCTTTTCATTTTTGGTAGAATAGAGTGATCAACTAATCATTCCAATAGTTTACAAGTCTGTCCATGGAAAAGTCAAAACTCTATGAAATAGTGGTTAAACAAACTACACAGAAGAGTAAGAACAACCTGGCAAAAAGTCCCTAAAATCAGCTCTTTGCATGTTGAAAGTATCATGATAACTTCAAATTAGAGTGAACAGGTTAACTTATTTGTCTAATTTGGTTACAGAGCAACTGAGAAACCTGACTTCCTCTTCAGTCTAGAATGGGGCTGGTAGGAAAGAAATAGCTGGTGGTTTGTTTTTTTTTTTTTATATTTATTTTCATTTATTTATGCATACAAGAACTGGGGAGTATGCCAGAGGTGCGAGGGGCTGAGAGGATTCAACAAAGGCAGAGTGGGGAGCAGAACAGGCAGATCTACTGAAATACACTGCTGAGGGGAGTAGCGGAGAGACAGGAGAGGTCTGCTGCACCATGTGCATTAGCTCCCTGGCTTTGCATGTTGAAAGTATCATGAACTCGTGCTGCAGTGGCTGGCGATAGCTTGATAGCCCTGAGACTTTAACCCCTGAGCCACGAGGGAGGCCCAAGAAATAGTTTGTTTTAACAAAGGAAAAAGATTGGTGATTCTGGCCTGGGTTTAATGTTCAAGGGCAGAGGTGAGCTGGGTTTGGGGTGACAGTTGGGGAAGTATTTTAGTGAAGTTATTTCACTGGGATTCTCAAAAGTTTTGGAACTTTACAATATTATATATTTACTCTTAACATTTACTCCTAAAATGTTGTATAGTTTTATTTTTATATGTTAAATTATCCCTCAGCCTTTAAAAATAGGCGAGTATGTAACCAAAAATAAGTGAATTAAATGATGACCATTGTTTGCAGAATGACATCCTTTCCCCCAAATAACTATGCACATTCAAAGATTCTATAAATGGAAGGAAAAACATTACAAATCTACATTGTTTATGGTAGAGTCCTAGGAATTTAACATGTAATTTTCACTCTTCAGAAGAAACCCTAATACCCCATTATATTGAGCCTACATTTTAGCTTTGAGCCAGGAATCTGCTATGAAGAGCACTTATTTAGATGGTGACAGTAATAGTCACATTTCAATGCATTTTTGTTGTTGCCATTCGTTGATATATGTGCTGAAACTCAAAGTGACAGAAGACAGTCTGTGTGATGAAAATGAAAAAGACACCATTAAATTAGCACTTTATACACTATTGTGAGAAATTTGTTAGTGGTTTTCTATCAACGATATGACCAGTTCACCTTATGCTATATGCTTAAGGAAGAACCAGCAAATTCCAAAACTGTTTTAGGCTGTATTCTCAGTCCGTGATGAGTATAAGAATAAATTGGTGTAACAAATGTGTGACTTGACCTTGATGAGTTCTATGGTTTCACAAGACTTTCAAGGAAGAAATGACATCAGTTTCAAACAATCACAAGGGATAAAGAGGTCGTCTTCTTTGTTTTATGAGACTAGCATTAACTCTGATACTAAAGTCAATCTTAAAATTTTGCAAAAGTGGAAACTTGCTGTCTACCTTTTATCTATGAAATAGATGCAGATATCCTAAACAAGATATCAGTAAGCTAAATTCAACAATCTATAAAAGTTGAGGTTGTTCCAGAAGTGCTACATGGTTAACAATTAAAGAAAAATCAGTTTGCCAGGAACAGAATCACTGTTGGCTTCCAATAGATGTAGGATTTGATAAATATCTATTTATGATAAAGAATATCTATAAAACCTTTAAAAATCTAATGGTGAAACATTGGAACTGCTCACTGAGATACAAATTAGAAGGATGTCTGATGTCACCACTTTGTGTAACATATTGGATTTGTTGGCTAATGGAAAAAATACAAAAAAGAAAGAATTCAAAAAGAAGCAGTATTAAATATACTATTCTTGGCTGATTGGTTATGTATATTGGACATCCAAAGGAACTTACAGATATTTTATTAGGATTAGTAAGAATTTAGTGACATTGCTGAACTCAAATATGTAAGAAATAAACCAGATGTAAACAATTAGGAAATGTAATTTTTAAAAAAATAAAATAGCATTTCAATAGCATTATAATCAAATACCTAGGATTATGTTTAACTAGACATGTCATAGCCAAACTACAAACTTTGGAGAGATGTACAATTCATTGGAGAGATGGACAGTGTTCATAGCTTATACAATGCACTATTATAAAATGTCTTTACTTTTGATCAAATTATAGAGTGCAATTTCAGTTTCCCAGTGCATGATTGTGTAGAACTTGACAAGATAAAATGGAGGAATTTGCCATCCAATGTCAGGACATTATAATGCCACAATAATTAACATAAAGTAATATTAGCAAATGGTGGGCAAATACAGCAATAACAGAGTCCAGAAATCTGTGCATATATTAGATATGTGATAGATATTATATGGCAGATCATGTGGGAGGTGATTGACCTTTAGTAAATGGTGCTGTTAATTTGTTCACATTGGGGAAATATGAAAAAAATTGGATTCTTATGTCCAGTTATAAACAAATCAGTCTCATATGGATGAAGGAACTATATGTCAAAGGAAAATTGTAAACCTTTTAGAAAATAATGCAGAATGACTTCATAAACTTTGGATAAGGGATGATTTCTACAGACAAATACATTTGCTGTGAATGAAAAACTTGATCAATTTTGCCACATTAAAATTAGAAACTTCTCTCAAAAGGCACTATAAAGATAGTGAGAAGACAGGCCATCAAGTGGGAGAAGATACTTGTAGCACATATAACCTGTAGAGGACTAATACCAAGCCAGAATGTGTGTGTGTGTATCTCTTGCCAATGCTTGGTATTACCTGCCTCTTATTTAAGTCACTTTGGTATTATTTGTGGCATTATATTGGTTTTAGCCTGTATTTTCTTCTAATAATGAAGTTGTTATATTTTAGATTGCCAAAACCACAGTCTGTTTTTAAAGTTTTCTGCTTAGTTTCTTAGACTTTTACATGACATAATGTGTAATTCTTAATTTGTACAATAGCAGTAAATAGAAATATTAAAAATACTGGAAATATTTTAGAGCTGATGAGAGATTTTGACTGTAGTGTCAGGAACATCTGAAAATAATTATTTTTTTTAAGATTTATTTATTTATACAAGCACTGGGTACAGTCAGAAGCGCAGGAGGGTGAGAGAATTCACCAGCGCCAGAGTGGGGTGCAGAACAGGCAGACTGGCAAAATACACTGCTGAGGGGAGCAGTGGGCATGGTAGGAGAAGTCTGCGTGCCATGTGGGACCCTCTTGGGCGGCCAGGGATCGAACTGGCACTGCAGAGGCTGTGGGGAGCTTCTCAGCCCAGCACTCAACCGCTGCGCCACCAGGGGAAGCCCTGAAAATAATTATTTACAACTTTCTTGTAGTTTAGCTATAAAATAAATACCAGCTTTTCATATGATGGCTATTACTAGCAGAAATATATATATATATATATATATGTATATGTATATGTATATAATAAAGTTGATGAGTGCTTTAAGAGACCAATAATAAATAGAATGAAATATCCTTGATAAAATTTATATTTGAACATTTTTTTATTGAATACAGAAATAGTGGTTATTGTCAACACTTTTTTTTAAAAAAGATTTATTTATGTTTATATAAGAACCAGGGTACAGGTCAGATGCACAGGAGGGTGAGAGGATCCACCGGAGACAGAGTGGGGAACAGAACAGGCAGATTGAAGAAATACACTGCTGAGGGGAGCAGTGGATGAAACAGGAGAGGTCTGCTTCACCATGTGGGATTCTCGCCACCCAGCTGGGATCAAACCCACGCTGCAGAGGCTGCAGACAGCTTCACAGTGCGGCGCTCAACCACCTGTGCCACCACGGAGGCCCTATTGTCAGACTCTTACTGATAAATCTGATATGGGAAATTATCGAATTAAATCTGTTATTTAATGTACATGAAAATTGCTTATTTCACAAAATGAAAATGAATGTTCAGGATTTGTCTTCTTCTGACCATGAATATGGACTGCTACATGAATTGTCCTAAAGAAAAAGAATTGTGGTGGCAGACCTCTCCTGTCTTACCCACAGCAGTGTATCACTCTGTCTCTGGTGAATCCTCTCACCCTCCCGCACATCTGGCCTGTAGCCCGGGTCATATATGTATAAATAAATAAATCTTTTTAAAAAAAAAAAATTGTTCTGACATTTTTCAGCAGAAAACACAAGATTCTGTTCCCTAACAGAAGGAAAAAAGTGAAATGCATTCATAATTCCAGCTACAGCCTAGAGGCATGTTCCAGGATGAAGAGCAGAAGGAGCCCAAATAGCCTAGTGATCTTGCTGTGTTTAGATCAGATATTAGAGAGTCTGAGTTGGCTAGAACTTGTAAGGCAGAATAATGAGGAGAGGAAATTGCATACATGCCTCTGAAGATCTACAAAGGAAATCCTTGAATCATTGGATTTGCTCAATACAAATCTACATATCCAAATGATAAAAAACTGTAGAAGACTAGAACAAGAACCACTGGAAAGAAGAAAGCCAAACATTTCATAAAGACCACACAACTGGGAACATTTTGCTTCTCCATTGGCTGTACTGAGAGACCTTATAGTATCATGAAAAACAGAGATTCCTCAGAGAGTGTGGCTGTAAGAGGAGCTAAATTAATCCTCAAGACCCCAGTGCATCTACCCAGAAAAGCTAAAAGGATTTATAGGACTCAGACTAATCCTGAGTGATTTAACTGCATGTCAGACAAAGTCCAACATTCTTTGGAGAAATGAAATATCCATCATACAGCTGCATAAGTTTTACAATGTGTGACATCTAATGAAATTACCAGGCATACGAAGTAGCAAAACCCATTATCTACACAAGGAATAGAGTGATAGGAACAAACCCCGAACTAGTATAGTTGATGGGCTTTGCAGACAACAATAATAACTATCAATATACTCAAAATATCCTACAATATAGAGGAAAATATGAACATGATGAGATCACTGCAAGATGTTTAAAAAGACCCAAATTGAAATAGAGATGAAAAGATAATAAAAAGAGAAATGTGCATTGGATAGGATTAACAATAGATTACTGATTTTAAAAAAAATCAATAAAATAGCAAGAGGAACTTCAAACAAAATTATGGGGAGAAAAAAGACTTAAATAAAATGAAGAGAACCAGATCTGTGAAATAGTATCAGGTTGTCTAAAATATATAATTGGAGTACAGCTAGGCAGGGGCTAGATTCATGTTATATATTTAGCAAAACCCATGTATGAATGTTCAAAACAAAGAGTGAACCCTAATAAAAACTATGGACATCAGGTGGTGATGATGATGATATTGATGATGTGTCAGTGTAGGTTTATCAGATGTAACAAATGTACCACTGTGGTGGTATAGGACAGTTAGAGGTCATATGTGTATGAAAAGGGTATATGGGAATTCTATACCTAAAACTGTTCCCAAAAAAAGTTCATTAATTTTAAAAAGTATGAAGTATTGCTGAAAAAAATTAAGAAATCTCAATATATGGTGAAATATATTTAGCCATATTCATGAATCAAAAAATTTAAGATGTTTCTTCATTCATAGTACTTTCTGTACTGCTCATGCAATATCAGTCAAAATCCCTGCTGCCTATTTTGTAGAAAGTAACAAGCTGATTATAAGCTTTAATTTTTTTTTTTTACTTAAGTGCCATTGTTTTACATCACTGTTAGTGTTTTTTAATTATAGGCTCTCCCCCCTTGTAGCACACCCACCATGAAAACCATAGTCCATTGTGCTCCCTCTTCCCACACTGTTGCCCCCCCCACTTACAAACTTTTAAGTGAAATGTAAACGACCTAGAAGATGGAAACAGTATCATAAAAGAACAAAGTTAGAAGACATACACTACCTAAGTTCAAGACTCAATATAAAACTGTAGTAATTAATACAATGGTAGTGTAATAAAGATAGATTTATAAATCAATAGATTAGAATACATATAGTGTGTGGCTTTCAACAAAAATGCTAAGGTAATTTAATTAGGGAACGGTCATCTTTCTAACAAATCTGAAATAGCTAAAGTGACCTCAGTTTTTACCTCATAGCATTCACAAAAATAACTTGCAATGAATCATAGACCTAAATACAAAAGCTAAAATTACTAAATAGACACAAGAAAATAGTTTTCTAGCAATTTTATGGGCTTAATAAAATTTGGCAAGATTTTTTAAAGTTTTGATTTAAACGTCCAGCTCTTAACAGTAGAGTCAGGGTCAAATAGGAGCCGAAGACAACTTTCCTGATCAGGTTATTTTATAACCACCATCAGTATTACTTGTCATTCTCTCAGTTTAGTAATAAGTGATCAATATGGTCACTATTGTGACCTAATAAAATAGTAGCAGAATTAATTTTTAATAGCTTTATTATAGTCCTGTATCTGTAAGAATTAAAGTGTTTTAATGGGTTTCTTTCAGTTTTGTTTCATTTTCATAAAAGTGCTAGAATATTTGTATATTTTATGTATTTTTGTAGTGTATACTTAATATGTTTTGATTAATTGTGCATTAAGATTTAAAAGTGTCTTCCACATCCATGAACTTTTGGTGGTTGATTGGTAACACATGGGTTTTCTGGGTCCTTTCCCCCACAATATTACATTAAAATGTGTCTGTAGCCAAATGTCAAGTTTGAAGAATTCTGATTGCCTGTCTAGTATAATAATGCATGTTTAGTTTATTTTTGTTTTTAATTTTTTATCATTTTAGTAACAATGATGATGTTATGTTCATTTCTGTGGAAAGTCGTAATTTGACAACTCCAATTACATCAAATCCAACAGGTATCTTAAGTTGATTAAAATATGATCTATCAAATTAAAAAGCCTCAAATCACTATTTATTTAAAATCTAGAACTGTATATTTCAATAAATAATTTTAGATCTGTTCTCAAAATGTTTTAATTTCTATCTTTAATTAATATTACCTACATAAATTATTCCCTAATATAATTAAGGTGTTTTAATCTTATGCTTATTGATTTGTGTTTTGTTTCTTTACTGTGTTTAATTTGTGTCTATAAGGTTTGCAACTTATACAACTACTTAGCTTCCATATATATTATTTTTACTAATTTGTCCTAGCCTTCTGTTAACGGTAGAAGTTACTTGACTTTTGTCCTTTTGTTTCATCTTATTACATTATCTTATGGTCTACCTAAGATTTAAATCACTACTCTTTAGCATCATTGATTTTTTTAATTTTTGTTTTTTAATAAGACTTGTTCTCCTTTAGAGTATCTCTTATTACACTTGTGTAAAAATCTTTAACTTCAGACTTCCCATAAATTTCCTTTCTCTTAAAATACTGCTCTCATTTGCCCTTAATTTCTCATATAAAATTTTTTTCTTTCATTTTTTACTCTTTTAATATTTATATCTTAATCTCGGAAACCTTCACCTCCCCTTAGAGCTACTTAATTGTTTCCATGTTGTGGGCTATTAAGATTGTGACTCAAAGAAACATTAGGCACTTACCTGAGGCTTTCTACTGGCTCTAGAAAGAATGCTTCTTAGCCATCTCAGACAGCCCAAAGAAAGATTCTGTGAATAAAAAGTATGTACATTTCCAAGTTTATTTCCTTAGTACTGTTAATTTATAGATTAATTTTCAAATAAAGAGTTAGTAAGATAAAGTTATAGAAAGAGAAAACCTTTCAAACCAAAATTAGAATTTTTTTTGAAGTGGCCTATTGGATTTGGAGTAGGTAAGGTCAATTGAATTACTATTTATGTTTATACAATTAATTAATTAGCATTCCTAGCATTGCATTTCAACATTCATATGCTACAATGTCCGTCATTATTAAGCTAATAAACTTGTCAGATATTCATATTTAATAATTTTCTTTCAGGTTCTGGAAATTCTAACAGTTCACCTGATGCTAAAGCTGAAGTTATGGTAGGTAATAAATATTGTCCCGAATGTTATTTATTTGAATATGTTAGTTCCAGAAAGTTTAGTGTTGGATGACCCAGCTTTGTCATTCTTTGGGAAATTAATTCTCTGAGAAATTGTCTGACTAGTTAGCACAACCAGGTTCGAGTTTGACGTCAAATAACTAATGCTAAGCAACCCTGTTCATTTAACAGGTTAATTCATACTGACCTTGCTTAGTAATATTCTCAGAACCCATACAGTTTTTCATGAACTTCTCTTTTATCATAGAGTTAAACATAAACACTTACAGAATGTTCATTGTCTAGCTTCTAACTGGTAATTTGGAATGATAATGTGTTTATTTTAAAAAAACATTTTCTGCTATTGAGGCAAAATCTTATTTTTAACAATAACTTCTTAGGCTGTAGAGAAGAAACGTAATTCTGTGATAGATCTGACAAAAGAAGGCCAATTGAACTGCAACACAAGTAAGTGATTTGTCTTTTTTAAGAAAGTGGGAAGGATAACAACTCAAAGTACATTTGATCCATTTATGGAGTTTATTTTAATGTGTCAGTTTGTGTGAGTTTATAGCTTTATGTAACTTTACACATGTACATTCATGTAACTGCCACCATAACCAGATTACTATTCTGTCACCACAATCCTCCTCCTTGCTACCCCTTTATAGCTACACCTGTCTTCTGTCCCCTGCAACCACTAATCTGTTCCTTACCACTATAATTATTTCATTGATATTACATAAATGTAATGATATAATATATATCTTTCTGGAATTGACTTTTTCACTTAGTATAATCCCCTGCCCCTCACCTCCCACCTATGAGGATCATCCAGGTTTTTGTAGCAATAGCATTCCTATTTTTTTTTTTTTTTTTTGGCTGAGTGGTATCCCATTGATATGATTGTATCATAGTTTAACCATTCACTCACTGAAAGAACTTTGGGTTCTTTGGCCTATTATGAATCTCCCTTTTTCAACCTGTAGGATGCACCCTTTTCCTTAACCATAACAGAAGCTGCTGTGAAAGCATGCTGTAGGAACTGGGGCCTAACACGACTGTAGAGGGAGAGTGACAGAAGTGCTCTCTTTCACAGATTTAAGCAAAAGGATTTGAAATACAGTCTTCTGGAACTGGTAACCAGTTCTAAGGTTTCATATCTTAATTGAATATTTATGGAATTCTGTTTGTTACCATTTGGTAATAATGTAATATTTAAAAATAGAATGAATACAGGGTGTATGTATTCCAATTCCTTTGTCTTCTCATCTCTGAATCCAAACAATGGCTGGAACTATTGGAATCTCCAAGTACCTCATGATAGATTTTTAATAAACCTTTAATTTCCAGTTTCATGAAGATTAGAAATAGAAATTTGTAAACTGAATTGGAACCTGTAATGAAATAATCACTTTTAATAATTAACTAGTTTCTAAATTACATAATAGAGGATTTGAGATACAGTAAAATAAAAACAGCACGTGTATATTCCATGCTTAACAAAGCAAGTCATGCCTCTAACTAAATATGTTATTTAAGATACAAATGATAATGTCTAGAACAGTAATTTTTAAGTGGAAATTTAGCTAATAGACCAATAGGGGAGATAACATAGAATTTTAAAAATACTGAAATACAAGAGAAGCCACAAAAAATAGCGAAGAATATGAGAGACTAGTAGAGAACAAAGGACAAGATAGCGGATTTAAACCTGACCATATTGATAATTAGAACAAGTGTGAATGGTCTAAACATGGCATTAAAAGACAGTTATTGTTGGGCTGCATAATAAAACAAGACTGAAATATTATGCACTTTATAAATACATGAAGAGGTTAAAACTAAAAGAATGGAAGAAATAAACCATGCAAATGCATGCAGACATTAATCATAGGCAAGGAGTAACAGTATTCAAATAGACCTCAAAATAAGAAATATTACCAGGGAAATAATGATAAAAGCAATCATTTTATAAGGAAGACATAAGCCAACATGTGTACGTGCTTAACAGTAAAACTTCAAAACTCCTGATGCTAAAACTGATAGGAGTGAAATGCTAGAGAAATAAATATTTTTAGCTGGACGTGTCAATTCTTCCTTCTCAGTAATTGATACAACTTGTGGACAAAGTTTATAGAAGCCTGAGCAACACTATCAACCACATTTAAAATATTTGACATTTATAGAGCACTCAACCCAAACCACAGAGGTTACACATTCTTTTTAAGTACATATGTCATATTCTGCATCATAAACGTCATATTCAGGATCATAAAAGTCTCAGTAGTCAATAACAGAAAGATCCCTAGACATTTGGAAACTAAACACATTTCTTTGACCCCATACATGAGTCAAAGGAGAAATTAAAAAGGAAATTTTAAAATACTATGAACTGAGTAAAAATGAAAACAGCTTATCAAAGGGATGCAGTTAAAGTAGTGCTGAAAGGGAAATTGGCACTAAATGTTTATGTTCTTCAAAAAGGAAAGTCTAGTTACATGCAAATAAATGAAACTAAACTACTAATTCATACCATGTACAGCCAACTCAAATGGATGAAAGACTTGAATGTAAGACCTGAAACCATAAAATATGTAGACGAAAGCATAGGCAAAACACTCCACGACATACATCTCAGAAACTTCTTTGAGGACTCAGCCCCAGAAGTAAAGAATATGAAGGAAAAGATAAACAGCTGGGACTATATCAAACTAAAAAGCTTTGTATGGCAAAAGAGTCAGTAACCAAAATGAAGAGATGCCCTACAGATTGGGAGGAAATATTTTCAGTCATACAACTGATTAGGGACTTGATGTCAAAGATCTACAAAAAACTTATACAATTCATCAAAACAAAGTAACCCAGTCAAAAAATGGGCAGAAGAGCAAAAAAGGCACTTTCCAAAGAGGAAATGCAAATGGCCAACAGGCATATGAAAAAATGCTGATAAGCAAGGAAAAGCAAATGAAAACCACAATGAGATATCACCTCACACCCATGAGAATGGTCCACATTTAAAAACAAAACTGGCAACAAATGCTGGCATGGTTGTGGGGAAAAAGAATTCTCTTACACTGCTGGTGGGAATGCAAAGTCGTCCAACCACTATGGAAAGCTGTAGAGGACCCTCAAATTACTAAACATGGATCTACCATATGACTCAGCAATTCCACTCCTAGGAATCTACCCAAAGGACACAAAAACATTAATTCCAGAGGAAAACTGCATTCTGATGTTTATTGCAGCACTATTTACAATAGCTAAGATATGGAGATGAGATATATATATATATATATATATATATATGAATGCATATATATGAATGGATCAAGAAGATGTGGTATATATATACAATGGAATACTATTCAGCAATCAAAAAAAGATAAACTTATGCCCTTTGAAGCAACATAGATGGAGTTGGAAGGGATTCTGTTCAATGAAATAAGTCAGAAGGAAAAAGAAAAATATTGCATGATATCACTTACAGGAGGAATACAGGGAAACAGAACAAAGGGTAAAATGTGGGGGGGAACCTTTTAGGCAACTATAGATCTGAGGCATATAGCAGTGGTGGGAATAGCACAAGGAGCCATGTGACCATTCAGAAGGATTACATCTGAGGGGAGAAGTCAATACTGTCCAAAAATAAACAATGATGTAAGAAAATTAAAAAATTGAAAAAAGGAAGATCTAGAATAACCTAACCCTTTTACCTTTAAGTTGCTAGGGAATAAAGGATTAAGACCAAAGAAAGATGACACTCACTAGAGAAGATGCAGAGATGGAAAATAAGCACAAGAAAACATCCTCATTGTAATTCATTATGGAAATTAACACTTATAATGAGTACCTTAACACTTCTACCATATGACTAAGATGAAAACAACTGAAAATACACAGTGTTGGCGAGGATATGGAGAACTGGAATTTTCATGCTTTGCAGATAGGGAAAAAAAAAAAAAACGACAAAACTTCTAGGCTACTACAGATTATAGAGGCATACAGGAGGGGAGGGGGAGGAAGAAGTAAAGCCAGTTTGGAAGTGGGTTGGCAGTTTCTCAGAACATGAACTATACCCTAGCCATATGACACTTTTTATCCCACTCTTAGTATTTTCCAGTAAAAAATGAAAGCCTGTATGCATAAAGACTTACATAAATATTCATAGTACTTTATTTTTAAGGGTCCCAAACTAGAAACCTAAATCTTCAACACACGAATGGATAAATAAGCTGTGGTATATCTGTGCAGCTAAATACTACTCAGCAATAAAAATAAATAATATTTATATACAACAACATGGATGAATCTCAGAAATGTGCTGGGCAAAAGAATTCTGTGTACTTACTGAGTGATTTGATTTATGTGAAATTCTGAAAAGGCAAGTCTCATCTTCATGACCACAGACTGAAAAAGCTGGAGAGCATTTACAGGACATTGTCACTAATGACATGAAGGCTGTGGACATTAACTGGTTTGGGATAAAAGTCCTATTTTCAGTCATCAAGTTGAGTTACTGTCTTGACCTAGACCAATTGGAAGGACTGTTAGTTATGGGAAATTGTTCGGATTTTGTGAGTGTGTGTGTTAAACTGTTCACTTCTGGAAATTTAACAGAACTTACTCATGTCTGCTCTTAATTAACCTATAGTTAATGATTTCATGAACCTAGTTCTGATAAATTAAACCACTAGAAAAAGGCTATGCAGACTCTTAAAATTAAAACCATGATGTCATTACCTGTTCTAATAAATACAGTGCAAAGTCTCGGTTATCCTTGTCAGTCAAAAGGGAAGATCCGTGAACTGTAACAGTTACGTTACTGCATACTTGATGGATCTTAAATGGTTTTACTGTTTATTAAATATGTTCAAACTGTTGAAATTTTTTGTACCTAGCCCTACTGATTGCCAGTTTGAAGCCTTTTCAATATTCCACATTTTCTCCCCTATTTCCAAGCCATTTTCACATCTACTGCCTATAAATTACAGGCCACCCTGTTTCTCGCCTTCCCCACATTTTCTCTGCCTTCCCCTGTTTCTTTCTTCCTTTCTCCCATTCTTGCTTCTGTCCCTTCTCCCTACTCTTTGCACAATCCACAATTTACGGCTAATTCTCTCTAGGCTAATACAGACCTCAGCAGCAGATTTAATCCCCAGACGTTAGATGTGTGACCTGTCTATACCTGATATAAATGGCTCTAAGTCTGCAGACTACCGTGTTACCCTACCAGAGCAGAATTTGCCCTTGAGGCCACTGAGGGTAGATCCCTGTCCCATGTGTCATTGTATCTAGTTCCCAATTGCATAATGTTGTGTTTTCCTTGAGAGGGGAAATTTTGTCACATTAATGGAAAATTCTCTGTATTTCTTACCTTTGGGTCTTGTGAACGTTTATCAAAAGTATTTCTTTTTTTTTTTTTAATGTAGTTCACATTTAATTATACCCAAGAGGTAAACTATTTTTTCTTTATGGACAATGGGATTGATTTTTTTAGATAAATGTTATTTCTTATACCTTGTGTTGTTCACAGAAAGTCCAGTTTCCACCATGGAGTTACCTACAAAAGCTGTTCCAGTCTCCAAAGAGACAGTTCCAGTGGCACAGAATACAGCCCAGGTACTGAGGTGAAATGCTCTTTAAGGGAAATTCATTTCTAATTGAGTAGAAGTATCCATTTTACTCATGAAGAAACATTTGGGTCACATTTCAGCTTAAAAAGCAACCTAATGTATTTTGTCTATCTTCACAATTAAAATAATTTAATTGAAACTTCCAGAAGCTATGGGAATTAAAACAAATACTTTTTTTTAGTCAAATTAGAAATGATTTTTGTATGGGCCTCCCTGGTGGCGCAGGCGGTTGAGCGCCGCACTGTGAAGCTGTTCGCAGCCTCTGCAGCACAGGTTCAATTCCCGGCTGGCCAGTGAGAATCCCACATGGCAAAGCAGACCTCTCCTGTCTCGCCCGCTGCTTCAACCCACTGCTCCCCTCAGCAGTGTACTTCGTCAGTCTGCCTGTTCTGCTCCCCGCTCTGTCTCTGGTGAATTATCTCCCTCCTGCGCATCTGGCCTATACCCCGGTTCTTGGATAAATAAATCTTTAAAAAAAAAAAAAAGATTTTTGTATTAAAGAGTAATAGCAATTGTTGATGAGGGTCTCAGGAAATGGGTGTTAATCATACACTGACATCTTCCATGTGAATGAACACATTGTTCCATGGAAAGGCACACAAATGGAAATGAGATGGGATAATTGTCCAGAATGTCTGTGACCTAACCCAATCTAGATCAGTGATACTCCAGAGTGTTGAAATTTTAATTTTAAAAGAGGCTTAGGCCACCTTAACAAGGGGTTAAGTCTCAGCACTATGAAGCTATAAGCAGCCACTGCAGCATGAGTTCAATCCCTGGCCCAGGAGCTACCCACAGGTGCAGCAGACCTCTTCTGTCTCGGCTGCTGCTCCCCTCAGTAGTGTATTTCAGTCAGTCCTCCTGTTCTGCTCCCCGCTCCGTCTCTGGTGAATCCTCTCACCTCTGGTAGCTCTGGCCTATACCCCAGCTCTTGTATGCATAAATAAATAAGTCTCAAAAAAATAAATAAAAGAGGTGTATGCTTGAAAAGACTAGATCCAGCCTCACATATTTTGCAACATCCTTAATGATTTCAGTAAATGGATTGAGGACTGGGAAACACATATTTGTAGAATTGAAATGGACCACTTTAAAATAATCAGAAGTCACTAATCCAACTCACTCAACTTTTCATAAATGTGTTTTTCAGGTTCTTGAATCTTTTAAGCACCTGCCACCTCTCCCAGAACCACCACCACTACTACCTGAACTGGTTGACAAAATCCGAGACACACTTCCACCCCAGAAGCCGGAGCTTAAAGTGAAACGTGTGCTGAGACCCAGGGGCATTGCCTTAACTTGGAACATCACCAAAATCAATCCCAAATGTGCTCCTGTGGAAAGCTACCACCTCTTCTTATGCCACGAGAATCCTAGTAATAAGTTGATTTGGAAGAAAATTGGAGAAATTAAAGCTTTACCACTCCCAATGGCCTGTACTCTATCTCAGTTTTTAGCTTCCAAAAAGTACTATTTTACCGTCCAATCAAAAGACATTTTTGGGCGATATGGACCATTTTGTGATATAAAAGCTATCCCTGGGTTTTCTGAAAATCTTACCTAAAAGACTTTAATATTTATATATTGTACTATATTTTGTTTTGTTTTTTCATATTTGAGTTGTTTATTATGTTCCTCTAACAATATTGTCTGTCCTGAAGGGCCAGTTCAGATTGTGAACCCTGGTTACAGGGTCAGTCCTGCCCCCTGTCTTGTGAGAGGCCTCTGGTTGCGTGAAGTTATGAATTCCCGACTTGCATTCAGTGTACTCAGAATGGATATGTTCTCAGACATACTATCATGGACCTTCTCATTCGGTTTCAATTCTAAGGGCTATTAATTTGTCCCTCCCCCTTCCTTTGGGGTATGGAATGGCCAGATCAGTCATTTGGGGAAATAGCTTGAAGGTGTTCCCCAAGTCTCTCTGTGTAGGTGGATGCATGTATGTGTATATAGATACCTATATACACGGGGCTCAGCTTGGCCCCTGTAATAAATTTCTATTTAATTCATGTATATATTTAGTTAGACATTGTGTGCTGTGTGTAGAAACACACAGTATCTCTTCTAAAAGCATTACCCAACACACTATTTCAGTTGAGGAAAATGGAGTTGTCTGCATTAGATTTAAGGCTTTAATTTGCTGATTCCCAAATGCTGCTATGCTCATTTCCTGGCTGCCATCATTCCTGGAGAAAGAACACATTAAGGGACTCGGTAGTCACATCCTGTGCAGACCTGTTCAGGGGAACATGGAGATGAAGCTGTAGTTAGTGCAAGGAACCCAAGAAACTCCAATGTGAATGGGCTTGATAAATAGAAGGGCCCAGTGGGACAAACTACGTAACTAGGAACTGACATTGTGAAAGTGGAAACTGCATGTCTTGTTCACGAGAGGCACTGTTTCCTGGTGCTTGTGAAATTTCAGGCTTCAGAGGCTCTGAGATTTTTAAAAAAAGTGAACAGGAAATGGTTTTTCTTGGCATTTTATAAATGCCTCCTATCTGTCGTAAATAAAGCTGGTTTTCCCAAGTCTCCTGTGCCTTTACCTTCTAAAACTACTGAAAGCCAGTTCTGAATTTCCTGAGAGGAGCTGCCCTCTGTGAGATCCCGGTTCAGGCTCAGCTGTGGTAGCTGGCCTGCAGCACAGAGTGAGGGTGAGGATGGCACCTCTGAGTCGAGGTGGACTAGACATTCGCTGACTGGGTCAGACCCAAAAACTTGACCCCATTAGCAAGAGTTTGGTGTGTAGCCCCAAAGTGAAACTGCATCTCCAACCAGGAAATCTGGAAGGTTGGCGGGTACACAAATCTGAAGCGCGAGGACTTGAAGCTGATAGGACAAGGGAGGAAGGCCAATAGGCCGTCTTCGGCTTGGAGACTCAAAAGCATTGGTCTTTTTTCCTTTGGGGGGTGGGGCAGGGCAAGAGGTTCAGCTGTTACCTGTCAAGACACCAGAGAGCCAGTGTAAGGAGGAGAGAGCCAGCTGTGCTGACGACAGCAGAAGAACGTAGCAGCTAGTTTGCTTTTAGTGGGGGTAACCTGTCTGTCTACACAACAGAACCTGACTTGACTGCTGAGCTGACGTCGATCATGGAGAGAGCAGTTACAGGAGAACTTGTGAAATCACCAGGGAACCTAGAGATTGAGGCTTAGAAAACAGGCTGCTGTGGCTCCGTTGCTGATCTGGGGCCTACAGACTGGTTCCCGCAGCGTCTGCCAGCGGCCCCCTCAGCCCATGCACACACAGGTCATGTCCAAGGGCAGCTTCGCGCTTTTCCTACAGACGGGATTCCCGAGACTTCCAGAGTGCAGGTGGGGGACACAGGTTCCCAGCATGCACCAGCTCTTGATGGAGGATAAGGATAGAAAAACCGGAAAGGAGCCACCACAAGACCAGAAACCTGGCTCACACGATGCCAAGAGCTGGAGGTGGGGTAGACGGGGTTCACATAGCCGTTCCTCCAGCTGTAGGAACCAAAAGTCCTTAGGCGCCAAGACACAGACCCGGCAAAGTGTCAGATGCTGATAGTGTCTTGGGGCTCAGAGCGGAGGTAAAGATACGGAGATTGAGGGCCAGCGTAGAATCTCCTGTCAAGTTCTGCGTGGTTATCCCAAATCAACAGCAAACCTCTCCCAAAGAGAGCCCCTCCCAAAGAGAAGACGCCATCAGGGCAATCTCTGCCCTGGCCTGGGGCAGCAGCCCTTCTGCCCACCTGTGGCCCTGCAGGTGCTTCTTTTTTGCAGATTCTCTCCCTCTGCAGGGCAGCAGCTTCCCGCCGCCCGTGCCCTGTACCTGCCGGGGCTTCTCTCACTGACCTCCCTCAGCAGAGGCAGCTCCTCAAGGCCGCCCGCCTGCGATCATGCAGGCCTCTCTCAGCAAACCTGTCCTTTCAGGGCAGCCCTTTCTGCCCGCTGGTGTCCATGCAGGTGTCCTTTATTCTTCTCTCCCTTTCACAATAAACCTGCCCTTTGGGGTATAACTAACATGTCTATGTGGTGGAGAAACTCCTGGAAAACTCGCCGGTGCCATTGAAAGGGGAGCGCCGGTAAAACATTTCCCAGAGTGAACCCCAGGGCCCCGCTCTCCAAACAGAAAAACCCCAAAAACGACTTCATTCTCATCCACACCCGGCCATCTTGACTTCCCTACTGCCCCCCGCCTGACCGCTGCCGGCTCCAGGCTCCAGGCTGCAGGCTGCAGGCTCAGCCCAGAGGCAGCAGTGCGCCTAGTTCCCCGGCTCTCCCACGCGGGGCTGAGTGTGGCCCCTGTAGCAAAGCCCTCGTCTCGCGCGCCCATGGCTCCCTCACTGAGACCCTGGGGCGAGCCCAGGCAGGGTGGACAGCCTCCCTGGGGGGAGCTGGGAGGGCCTCGGCTCGCCTGACCTCTGCAGAACAAGTTCGTCTCATGCCTGTGGCTGGAATATGGAATTCACAGACCCCCGGATCTGAAAGCCAGGTCCAGCGCGTATGAACTGTGACTGGGCAGCCATCTCGTCTCCGCCTCCTGGCTCTCCGTGAGGAGCGTGACGGCAGTCCGGACTCCATTTGCCATTTCCTCTCCTCCGCTCCCTCTCTCCTCTGCCCGTCCCTATTAGCTCGCTGGACTGCCTGAGGCTAAACGCTGATGGTCCCGGGCTCTTGTAAGGAGCTAACAAGAAAACAGAACACCCTGGACGGGGCAAATCCTGAATCGTCAATGGCAGGAAGCCAAGGAATAAAACCTTGGCAAAGTGGGGGGTGCAGGGGTGGAAGAGTTTGAAATACTTTGTTCCTGGGGTGGCTGCTAATTTACTGGGGCCAGAGGTCAACAGGAGAGACGTGTCGCCCAGAGAGGGTCATGGAGATAGAAGGAAATCCTGTCCTTTAAAGATCATTTAAAAATCATTAAAATACCATAAAACTCAAGTCTCTTCATCACCACTCCCTCCCCGCTCACCCTCCTGCTGAACTTCCAGATCGTTTCCAAACCAGTCAGGAGATTTCTGTCCTGACAAATTGCTCCCGAGACTTCCCCACGCGGTTGTCCTCCCCGCCGGCGGAGCTCGGAGAAGGGCTTCCTGACACGCTGGGTTATGGTCCACAAAGGGAGGCAGAAGGTCAACTATGAAACCCCCTGTTTCTTCTAGACTCGCCTTTGCCTGCTTGTTGATCTTTCAGAACTCACAGGTGAAGGGGAATGTGTGGGTCGGAGTGAGAGCCAGGGCAAGCAGGAATTAGGCAGTTTTAGGGACACTGCAGGAGGGGACCTCGGAGAATTGAGGAAGGCTTCAGAGATAAGGACAAGCAAAGGAATGCAACCAATTCCACTGGGAAAAACAAACATGCCAGGACCAAGGACAACACTGTGAACGCTGGTCCTGGCTTCCTTCAGGTGGTGAAGGGAGGCGGAGATCGGGGAAAGGGAGAGGGGTTTAATGTATGGACAACTTGGAAGGGCAGCTGTTGAACTGCAATGCAGGGATGCCCATCCCAGGACTGGGCCATAAAGATAAAGATGCAACAAATGGGGAAAGAGAAAGCTGTTAGATCAGGAAGGTGAAGATCCCCCGCTGGGTAGCAGATGCAGTGAGACAGCCGAGAACTCACCCATCACAGAGAGCCGGGTGGGGCTGTAGAGTAATGAGGGACAGAAGGTCTGTGTTCCCTGAGACCCGACTCCACTTTGGCTTCCTTGCCCCTCCCAGGCCTGGTTTCCTGGCCCGGGAGTCCCACTTTATTTCTGCTCTTTTTCTCCTCAATAAATTTTTTCTTTCTCTAAACAAACCCGCCTCTTCTCGCTTGCTCGCCTGAGTGTCTGCGAAGTCCCTGCTGCGGCTTCGTGAGACGCCAACCCGCGGGGGTCTCGTGGCCGGGGCTCAGCGCTGCCCCTGCAGCCTGGGATCCGTTCCTGGCTGGGAGATTAGGCCTGACAATTCCGGTATCAGGAGGAAGGCGACCCAGTTGCTCTCCTCGCCCCGGCTTTCCTATACCGTGAGTAGCTTTGTCTTTCTGAGTCTGTTTCTGCAACAGGGGGGTCCCCAGGGAAAGGGGAGGTTCCAGGCTCCCTGCCCCACCCAAAGGAGGGTGGAGCTGAGCAGGGAGGAGAAGAAGCTGCGGAGGACACTGGGGAAGGAGGAGGCACATGGAACAGAGACGCGAAGAAGCGGCACTGGCTTCTTGGCCTTGGACTTGCACCAGGGACTTGAGGGACGTGGAAGGAGACCCCTGAAACAGACGTGGGTGAGAGGCCCCGTGGGGAGGCTGACCATGGCAGCATTTATCTTGATTTCAATTTGGCTCTTTTCCTTCCAGACTTGTCTGACCCTTTCTGCCTCTTTTCCATGGGTCCCTACCAGAAGGTGCCTTAGACTTGAGGCAAGATTTTGGGCCTCAGCGGCCCTGCTTTGAGTCAACCCTATTTGGCTGGGCACTTACCCACAAGGGAATGAGTCCCTTTGGGTGTTTCATGTGAAAATTATTTTACCTATTCCTTCCCTTCTCCTTATTGCACACTAATTGTATGAAAGTTCTTTTCTGTGGAAGCTTTTACGCACTGGATTGTTTCATCTTGATGCGGTGGATGCAGACCCTATTTAGAGTGGGCAGGTGTGGGGCTTCTGGGGATACTCCTCTCCCTGCCCTGTAACATTTCCTCAACTGAAATGAGAATGTGAGCTTATCAAAAACATTCTGGGACCCCTTCCTCGACCTCCCTCATCTAGCAGGCAAGAGAGCTAAGTCACCGGCCGACTTGAAGTCAGAACATACTCTGCCCTCGTCTGTGAAACAGCCATGTGAAAATCTGCTGCGGGCAGGTTAACTAGCCTTTCAAGCTCCGTTAGTGACCAAGGAGGATAAAAAACACTTAAACAATGGGTTCTTAGCCTCCACAGTGCAGGCTTTCGAAATGAGGGGAGTGGTAAGACCTCAGTGTTTGCCCTCCTCTGGACATAGGTGGTGTGGATACTTCTTTACATCAAGATAGCTTTGGAAATTGCAAGATCTAACCCAATAGATGAAAACTGGACCCCCGCCCCATCAAGAAGAATTATATTTTTTTGGAGACCAATGACTCATGACTATCCGCAGTGCCTCATATAGACACTGAACTCAAACGTGTGTTTGTTGGAATAGCTCTCGCAGAATAAAATGTTGGCTTGCTTCCCAAGTTCGAATCTTCACTTTGATTATCTAATAAACTCCTTGTCTTACTATTATTGAGTCTTATCCCAGTCAACTAGAGGATTTAGTCAGACGATATGCAAATAATTAAGATCTTTAAAAATGGTAAAACAGAATTGGAAGGATCTAGAGGTTTTGCAGAGATTTGTTCTCATGGCCTGTTCCACAGTTTATTTCATTCCAATATGATATGCCCTAATAGGGAGTGTCTACATTTATAGGGGTTGTGTTACAGAGTCGTCTCTACGAAAAGGGGAGGTACGATGTTCCCTGCCCCATTTAACGAGTTGCAGCACTGAATGTTCAGCTACATAATGTGCAAGGCAGGGGGGCTCTGACGAAGAAACAAGGGAAGAGAGCTCTTGTCCCAGCTGCTCAGCTTGCACCCTGATAGTGCCTTGAAGGAGACACGTGGAGGAGAGGCATGTAGAGACACTTGGAAAAAATACGAGGTGAGAGACCGTGGGGAGACTGACAATGGCCGCCATTGCCTTGAGGTCCATGTCTTTTTTCCCAGCTTTCTGGGACCTGCGTTAGGACCCCTTTCCTATGGTTTCCTGCCAGAAAGTGCCTTCGATTCATGGCCAGTTCGTGGCCCTCAGCAGCCTTGCTTCTGGCTGGCTCTGTTTGACATTACCCACAGGGAATGGATAATGTGGGGTGTTTTATTCAGACTCGCCCTGTCTCTCCATGCACATGAATTCTATTAACTTCTTTCACCCTTACAGAGTTGCTTTTGCCTTTGTGTGCAGAGCTAGCCAGACCCCTTCAAAGTGTGCTAGTTTGGGGGTCCCCTCTATACCATATTGGTTTTTTTCCATTTAATTTCCCTTTTCATTGCTTATTTTCTCCTTCCCTGCCTTCTGGTGAAATCTTTATTTTCTCCCTTCTGATTGACAGCAATCTGATTGTCTTCCTGTTCTTTTAGTGACTTCCCTTAAATGTCAACATATATTGCTTCAAAATGTTCTGTTATGGAAAATTTCAAATACAAAGGTAGAAAGATTAATATAATAAAAAGCCTATGTATCTGTCAAATAAAAAACAAAATCTGGTCTTCTATTTAGAAAGGCTTATGGTGGTGAGAACAAAGCTGTGTCATCTGTGAACTCGGAGCGAGAAAACAAAAAAGTAGCTGGGCAGGGAGGGGTGGGTTGATAAAGCAACTGAAGAGAAGATGTAAGGGGGAGGAAGAGGGATATTCCACATTCCAGTGTTTGCTCAAGTTCAAGTGTGGGCCAAAGTTCAGGGGCCTGTGGGAGATGGCTGATTCAAGTTTGGTCAAGTCAAGTTAGTAGGTGCTCTGTCTAGATTGGGGAGTAGAGACAAACAGTTCACCTAATCATTTATGAGGCAAATAATAGAAATTTGGAAGGTCTGTGTCTGAACCTGTTATAAGTAAACAAAAGGGTCCAGGACTTTTTTCTAAGTCATATGGGAAGGGTGGCTTTTTGCAATAAGTCATTTCCTGGAACGCAGAAAGGTAGGGCGATTTCTCAACCATTCCTATTTTGCAGAAGCAAAGGGTTTAAGTAAAGTTCAATATTGTCATATCCATCACTCACCTTTAATAATTTTCAACTCTTGCATATCAATCATCTACCTATCTATCAATTTATCTATTTATATCTCATTTCTCAGTCTCTTTCTCGCTGGGTTTATTTTTAGTAAATTCCTTGATGATATCTTTTCACATTAACTAATTGAATTTCTTTTTTTTTTATAGAGGCATTTTTTTAATTTATTTATTATATTTGTTTGTTTTGTTTATACATGCACTGGGTACAGTCAGAAGTGCGGGAGGGTGAGAGAATTCACCAGAGCCAGAGCGGGGAGCAGAGCAGGCAGAAGGACCGAAGTACACTGCTGAGGGGAGCAGCGGGCGGCAGGAGAGGTCTGCGCGCCATGTGGGACCCTCCTCCGGTGGCCGGGGAGCAGCCAGGGATCGAACCGGCGCCGCAGAGGCCGCGGGCAGCTTCGCAACCCAGCGCTCAACCGCTGCGCCACCGGGGAGGCCCTTAACTAATTGAATTTCAACTCTGTTAAATCTGTAACTAACCCCATCCATTGAATTGTTTATTTTGATGGCTAGACTAGTCAGAACTAATATATAAATGGTTCTTTTTTATACGCACATGTTCATGTTTCATTTCTGCCTGTTCTTATTTCATCATCCAGTTTTGGTTTTGAATATTATTCTTCTAGTTTTCTCTTTGAGGAGATTGAATGTACACACTTTAAAGTTTTTTGAACAGCCCTATTATTTCCATTTTAACCAGCATGAATTCATCTTCCAACTATTGATTTTTTTGGGTGTCTTAATATTCACGGTTTGGGATTTGGGCTGGAGGCTCATTTGGGGTGGAAATTTCTCTTATTCTCATCCTTACTTTGTATCTTATTTGTCTCACTTATTTGTATGTCTTAGAGATTAATATAGGTGCATAGATATCTGCCTCATTCTTTTAATAGCTGCATTATTTTTATTATGTGCCTATAATGTAAGTTTTTTAAACAGGATAACCTATATCTACCCTAGTGAGGTAGCTATAAGTTCGTTGCCAGTCTCCTGCCGTATACAGAATGTAGCAATGCATATCCTTGCACATACTTACTGCATATGAGTCTATATACTTATATAACTAGAATAAATCCATGAAAGTGAAATTGTTGAGTCAAAGGCCATGAGAAACCCAGGTCCAGAGATGCTGGAGAACAAGATGCCACAAGGAGAGAAGGGGGTGCGGCAGGCGGAAGGGAACACCCAGGTAAGGAAGCTGTCTGTGAAGCAGATTGTGGGTTTCAAATGCTCCAGCTAAAACCATGTGGAGCAAACAACCCAGCTGAGCCCAACCCACACGCTGGACCCACAACACTGGGAGCTAAAAAGAGGTTATTCTGCCCCAGCCACTAAGAAAGGCAGAAAAAATATGCACACCCTTCTCTCTCCAAGTCGAGTTAGTAGGTGCTCTGTCCAGATTGGGGAGTGGAGACAAACAGTTCATCTAATCATTTATGAGGCAAATAATAGAAATTTGGAAGGTCTGTGTCTGAACTTGTTATAAGTAAACAAAAGGGTCCAGGACTTTTTTCTAAGTCGTATAGAGATATATATGATGTATTTATTATATATATATAATATATATTTATTTATTTTATATATTATATATAATATATATTATATATAATATATAATATATATTTATATATTTATTATATATATTATGTATTTATTTTATATATATAGATATATAGATATATATATATCCAAAGGGACTGTAGACTGATCATAAAAGGAATCACTGGAATACTTTCTCTTTTTTGGGAAATAGCTACTTTTTTGAAAAATGAGAAAAGAGGAACTTTTATCTGACCAAAGCAAATTGTTTCCGCTTATAATAGAAAATGTAATTGAATATATAAAGTACATACTCAGGTCGTCCAATGTTAAGGGCATTGGCTGTTCTCCTGTAACCTCCTGAAGAGGTTTATCACCTCCTGGATTATCACCGATTTCATACCTGGAATACCGGAACGAACAAGTTGGGGAAAATGGCCACCAGGTGGCAGTAATGCCCTTTTCCCCACATTTCTGAACTTGAAATTAAACCCACCTGTCATCCTTTCGAGCTGAGAGACCAATTGACCATCACCATGCTACTAAATGACAACTATGGTGCTAATGTAACAGTTTTTAGCCAATATCTAGGTCAATACGGGGCTTCCCCACGTTGATCTGTTTGTTTTGATCCTTAACTTGATCGACAAGTTGTAACTGAAATTAAAGTAGTCGACTTTTCTAAACCTACCAGGAAAAGCTCTTCCC